GTAAACTAACATAGCTATTGAAAATGGCCATGTATAGTGGATTTACCCATTGAAAATGGTGATTTTCCATAGTTATGTTAAATTACCAGAGGGTATTTCTCCAATGTGATTGACATGTGTGGTTCTCCAATGTTATAATTCATCTCCAATGTTCTTCAAACAATGTTTCAACATGTTTCAACCTCCATCGGCACCTGAATGGAGCCCTCTTTGGAACCGTTCTCCTGGCACGTCACATGCAGCTGACTCCATGGCCATATCCGACATCTCGATACGTGGTAAAGTTGAGAAAAGTTTCTGGGTATAATATAATATGTGTATATATATAATGTATGTATATATATATATATATATATATTCCAATATCATATCATCATGAAATATCATATCTCATCATCATCACACACATAATATAAATTAATAATATTTTCTGTCTTTGATTCCATTGTCTTCGCATCCTTTCCAGGAACCTGCCTCACTCACACCCAGCAGCTGATGTTTCGGCACACAAGGGATTTTGTTTGTGTTCATGTCATGTTGACACGACGACATGCACAGGAACTCAATAGTCCTGAGATGGTATATGCTAGCACCGCGCGCCAAGCTATTGCTATCACCGTCTCCCATTGGGAGGGTCGGGCGCGCAGCGGGCCAAAACAAATTGTGATCCCATGCTCAAACTCTTGCATCTGCAAGAAAACGGTTTTGTCATTGCACTGGTTTTCATTCCAAAGTTCCATTTCTGTCTTTGATTCCATTGTCTTCGCATCCTTTCCAGGAACCTGCCTCACTCACACCAAGCAGCTGATGTTTCGGCACACAAGGGATTTTGTTTGTGTTCATGTCATGTTGACACGACGACATGCACAGGAACTCAATAGTCCTGAGATGGTATATGCTAGCACCGCGCGCCAAGCTATTGCTATCACCGTCTCCCAACTATCCACTCACTTGCTAGAGCTTCACATCAAAAGCCGCAAACAGAAAACTCTGCAAGCGGCCACATGAGTCAGTCGTCACACGAGTAAGATTAACTGGATCGTCCATAGGTGACAATGATTTCTGCAACAGCCATACATGTGGTACCAACTTGCACCATCGCAACCACACATCACGCACTGCAGGCCCCAAGAGCTGATTGGAACGCAAAATCGCAACCTCTCCTTTGCGAATATATTCACGTGCTGACCTATCTGACAGCCAACGGCCAAACAGCATAATGTCGGCAATTGGGACGCCACGGCGACTGAGCTCTGACGCCCCACTTCTGCGAAATGAATGTGTGGTAAGTGAAATGCCCTCTGCCTGCAACATGGATGCCAGCTTCTTAACCCAGCGTAAAACAGAAGCATAGGACATGTTGAACACTAAATGCTCTTTGTCATCCCACCCTGTAATTTGCTGGAAACGCATGAACCATTGTATCACCAACGTGTTTGTGATAACCACCTTCTGTTCCATGCCACGCTTTGTATTGCCCAGACACAATGTGAGACCCCCTGCACCCACAAACACATCCTTCCACTTCAGTTGCAAAGCTTCACCGACTCGTAAAAGTCCAGCATAACATATGCAAATAATTATAGCAAGAGGATATCTGTTAAGTGCAAAAGAGGCTACCATCATTGCTGTCACAAGTTCCGGGGGAGCTGCAGCGGCTTGTTGCGGCGGCTGCAATGACCCCCAAACATCAAAAACCTTCCAGGCAATCTTGTATTTACAGCGTGGATACATGCGACCCAAAGCTGACAGTAATGACCCATAGTCGGATCGACCAAATCCTTGTTCATACCCATCAATCAGCCACTCAGCTAAAAAATAATCTTGTTGCTCTTCACTCATCCCACTCCAATCGACACCAGTTGATTGCAACTCACGATTGAGGAGGTCGATCGCTTGCTGATACTTTGCCTTGGTGACATCTTTCAAGGCACTCAGCAAAAAACGTTCGACTCGGGGATGGCCATTTCCAAGCTGTACTGACTGCGCCAGCCCAAGGATCAACACCCATGTGCTGATCCAAAGCGTTGAGACGCGGAGCATAGGGACACTGGTAACCATGTATGTGTGCATGCCTAAGGCGCTCCACAAATTGCCTTGCCAGTTCGTGAGAAAAACCAGATGGACATTTCGCTGCTGCAGTGGTTCCAAACTCTGAAGTGATCGGATTGAAACCCGACAACTGCTCATGTTTGAACGGATGATTGCAACATCGAACAACTGAAGAACAAGCTTTTGGTAACACTAAACCAGTAGGTTTCTTTGTGAATGCCTCAAACATGCACTGGTCCACTCGAAAATAGCTGAGCCCAAAAATCTGCTTCAAAATTTTCATCTCAACACTGCGAAACACTGATGGGAATGGATCTCTGCCGCGGTCATGTGGATGCTCAAATCCTACCCAAGCTCCAAACATTCTGCCCTCCCCCAGAAGCCCGATACACAGCAGAGCCAGTACTGATCCGATAGCCACTGCCAAGACCTCCTTCGGCCGCAAGTTTTTGAGGGGACGCCAGACATCCGCCCTAGATCTCAAAGGTCTAGGACCCCAAGTGCCCGGCTTCAATCGACGATGTCTCGCCGCTGAAAAAGTGGAACGAGGAGGAGAAGCAAATACACCCACAACCCTTCTGCTATGAAATAATCTTAGCAACGCATGCCCATGCTCCATGTTGAGTAAATCATGACAGTGAAATTCATCTTGCACAACATTCTCCGCCCATGCACACAATGGATCAACTCTCAAGCCAACTAAGTGAAAGCCTTGGTCGCTAGCCAGCCTCTCAACCCAGCTCACCAGATCATCGTCCCGTGAAGCACCTGAGCACAGATGCACAAAGACCTTCTCACCACCAGCCCAACCCTTCAAAGCAAATGGATCCAGCATCACTGTTTCGATTGCTGGCAAATCATCTGATGCCAACTGCTGACTTGAGTGCAACATGGATGTAATGTTGGAGGAGGATCCCTCAATTTGATGCGCCTCACCTTCAAATCGGCGCGATGGCTCATCCGCAGGGTTGTCGCCTGACGGTACCCATGGGTAAAAGACCTCATGACCTCCAGCAGTACATATTGCACACATACGCTGGCATCTGACATTTAATAGATGACTTGCTGAGCGGCCCTTGCAAAAAGCTCCCACGCATGATGCACTGTCCATAGGATGCACAAATCTGCAGCCATCATCCACCGGCCTACGCAGCCGGTCCTCTGCACACCACAGAGCTGCATCTGCCTCACCAAGGAAAATGTACCTTGGCCGGGATGGAGCACCAATCTTGTGCCAATGGAATCTATCACGCGGCAATTGCAAACGCCGTAGTGGACAAGTGTGTTCTTCTGTCAACCCAATCCCATATGGTAACGATAAGTTGGTATAGACCCCATTGTGATCACTGAGTTGCGCCATGAGTTGCACAAGGTCAGGAGGCATAGTTGCCCAAGCTCTTCCCAAACCTGTCATGCTGGCATCAGTGCACTCGACCCTTGAACTAAATGGAGCTGAAAGATTGAACTGACAATAAGGCAATAGCATCGCCGCCATAAAAATCTCTGTCCATACGTCGTCAGGGATCTGAATTCTGCGGGTTTTGCTCTGTCGCTGTTTTTCCAACCAACCATATGTGAAATCAAATACCGAACGCATCACAGGACGACAAGCATGACTGTACCCAAACTTTCCAACCAGTCTCTCAACATCACCCAACAAAACCTTATGTTGTGCCAGTATGTGAAATGTGGCTTGAAAAAGTGATTGACGTTTTGCCATGCTCACGCCCACCCAATGCTCATCAGGATCAACATGAACACCCTGTACTTCATGTCCTGGTTCAGCATTGACACTCTTTTTGCTGTTAGGATGAACACCATAACCCTTCCATGCCTCCTCTGCATCGCTGAGCCAACGAGGCCCAACAAGTGGTTGATCGTTCCGTCCTGCATGCTCCAATGCCCAGATGTCATCACAGATGGACCCCCAAATTGGAAGCTCTGACGGTGCAAATCTATCTGGATGGAGACGTCTCTCAGCAGGCATGTGACTATCATCCGTGGCCATATCAGTGACTTGCTGAGCCCATCCAGCACTAGGCCCGAATCCCATCGGAGCCGTTCTGCTTGCAGGATAACGCCGCTGGCCATTGTCTAGCACTATTGGGGGCCCACACAACCATTTTTGCCACTTCTTACCGACTTGCAGAGAATGGAAATAATGCCTGGCATCCCTTTTACTAACAAGAATCTTGCCAGATTTTGGAACCATGACCACCCTTAGCTTAGGGATATACGCAAATCGCGGCCTAGGCAACTTCAAAGGATCGATCAACTGATTAACAGAAGGGTCAGTGATAACCCTGTCCTCGTCAATGTCCTTGGGAACTGCGAAGGCACCGGTGAGGCAAAGCACCCCACGATGTTTGGCCACCTGGGACTCACGTTTCAGCACATGCAAGCCCGTCTTCACGTTCTTGCGAACCAACATAGGATAGCTCTTATGCAACCAGGTATGACCACGCTTGACCCTTCTCGGACGCAGTCTGGACGGCAACAAAAGAGCTGACGGTTCCATGACTTGTTGTGCAAACTGTGGATGATCATGTTGGAACAATGATTGCAAATCAACTGTGGCTGCTGAGGCTGGCACTCCGCCCCTCTCGCCCAGTGGGATCGCTACACCACCTCCAGCATAATGCTGACTGTGCTTCAAAAACTCCTGAATCTCTCCTAGATCCTGGGGCTTGAAATCCACCATCATGGATTCCCAACCGGACCTCAACCGGGTCTGGACACGATGCTGGGCAGCCGTCACAAAGGTACTTCGGCCTCCACGACCCCCATACAGCATGTTGAGCAACGCCTGTACAATGTTGCAGCCACGAGCAACCAGCAGATGATCACCAGCTGACAAATCGCCCATGACATACTTCTCCACTTTGCCCTTGTTTATCATAGGAGGCAAGGGGAAAACATGCTGCAAGCTGTATCCACGATCATGATCTTTACGAAAACCAACACCGAATTCTAAGTTTCTCTTCAGCTTGGATGGACTCGCACCCAAATTCCAGAGATACTGTCCAAAACTATGAACAGAACCAGAATGAGCAAAGATCTGTTCAACTGAAGTGAAAACCATGCAAAGGAACTGTGTCCCGCTGACAGGAGCACCATTGCGACCCTGCCAGCGAGCCACAGCCTTCCTGAAACGACCTGCTAGTTGGTGAGAGCCAGCATGCTCGAGCTGGCTAAGGCATTTCCCGACGGTATCAACTCTATGCACTCTGCTTTTTCCCAACTGCCTCCCTTTCGTTTGGCCTGCTGGATGGCAAGAATGCGCTGTGCCAATACGTCCATTGCCCTTGAGATCTCCCGTCTGTTGATGCAGTCCATCGCTTCTGCCAGAGTCAGAACTTCTCGAACATCTCGGATCTCGGTCAAGCCTGAATGCTGGCTGGCCCACTGAACAACATTCGCCTCCCTGAGTTGGGAACTTTTTGTCATCCGTCCCTTTGACAATCTGGCATAAATTGACGCCAAAAAGTGGGCACTCAGAGCTCCTGGATGTTTCGTCGCATAGGCCAGAAGTTCTCCTTTCCTTTTGAACTTCTGGGCATCCACGGCATGCACCTCGTCGTAGTCCAGCTTCCGGGACTTTGCCTTGTCCCTCCATCTCAGAAGGCCCGAGCTGTTGCTCGAACTGGATCTGCTGCTCCTGGTGGAACGAGACCTGGAGGCCGACGAGCTGCGGCTCGAAGAGGAGTCCTTCTTTTTCTTCTTCTTGGATTTCTTGTCCTTCTTGGACTTCTTCTTTTTGCTTCGAGACTTTCTCTCCTTCGAGCTTTTTCGACTTTTCCTTGACATCTCCTTCAGCTCCTGAATGGCCTCTGACAGTGACTGCATGTTGAACGGATCTGGACGCACTTGCCCTCCATCGGCTACCCCTGCCGGGCCTAGAGCCCCTGCAGCCACGGCTGGTTGCTGCACCAAAGCACCTCCGGGAGCGACTGCCCCGAGATCCAGCTTCACCAAGTCCATGCCCGTCCCTGGTACAGTGATTGGAAATGACTGAATCCCCTGACGTGCCAGCTGCACACCTAACAGTTGTCCCTCCTGTCTCAAGGCATTGATCTGATCCTGAGTTGGTGCCCACTTCACGTTGACATTCTCCGGTGGACAAATCCAATTGACAGTAGCTGCTGCTATGCCGGCTGGTGGAGTCCTGCCTGCTCCCATTCCCACTGGAATTCTGATGGAAGCTGGGATGCATTGAACCAGGCTCCATATCCATTCGTCACCGTCACCACTGGTGGTACGAACCAACAACTCTGATGATCCCTGAACCACACCAGTTGACCACACTTCGTCCCACTCCCCACTGCGCTCGAGCAACAAGAAACCTTCAGCCACTGCCATTAGCTGACAGGTTAAGTCACAGTGCTCTGATTCACAATGGCTGGAAGTGGCACGCTGTTGACCAGCACACTGTAGATCAAACAGCCCACAACGATGCAACCACACTGAAAAGCAATGCACTACCCAGAGAAGAAATTGCAACAACCAAATCAGTTCCTTACGGAGCTCAAAGGCTATGTAAAAACCTCCCAGATAGAAAGCAAACAGATGCAGCCGCTCAAATTGATCGCCCAATTGATCTGCTATATGGATCAGCTGATGTGCAGATTGGCCCAGAACCTTCACACCCTCTATCGCCAGCCAACCCTTCAAGAGACTTCCAAAGGTAATGCCACCAGTCAATACTATGGCTCCTCGGATTGCGACCTGACTCATTTGGCACTTGAGCCAAAACAAATTGTGATCCCATGCTCAAACTCTTGCATCTGCAAGAAAACGGTTTTGTCATTGCACTGGTTTTCATTCCAAAGTTCCAATATATATATATATATATATATCCCAAGAAGATAGAAACGTTTTTCGAGGATGTTACGACCACGAAACGGCAAGGATGTTTTTTTCCTAGATTCCTCAAAGCCGGAAGGACAATTTGGGAGAAATTTCGGGAGAAAAAACATACGAACATGGAATTCCCCAGAATGTATGCCGAATCCATTGATAGGTCGGGGATACTCAAGTATAGTCTGCAAAAATGTGTGGAAAGGTCATATTTGGATCATTTTTATGCCTCTAAACTGTTCCATCTTTGATATTGTCTGTGAAATTACAGGGAACGGTACGCTAAAGACGCTAAAGATAAGTTTGCAAACCTCGAACATGTTTCTTGCGTTTTCTGGGGAAAATCACTTTTGTATCCTGAATTCACAAATATCCAATGATCTTATATTTCAATATGTGGACATACATAGAAACATAGAATGTAGATATATCTAATACAATCTAATATATATATATATATCATCTAATAAAATCTAAATTATATATGATATATACTAGTACTATACATATGTTGGCGCTCTCCGACCAACATTCCGGGGCAGACGGCCTCTGCCTTTGGTTTGGCTTCCTCCTGGAACGCCTTTCCTGGCGGAGGTGAAGCGGTTCAGCGATTCATGGGGAAAAACAGAGCGGTTCAGTTTAAAATGATGGATTTCATGAATATCCATAAGTTATAGACTATTGAAACCATAGTTGAATTATTAATTATTATAGGGTATATAACTATACAACCATATATTATAGGGTTTTCTTGAAACCAGTTGAATATAGATATATATATATATATCCATGATGGTAAAGAAAACTATATAGTTATATCATGTTATATCATTTTTTCTATCCATCTTCATGAAGATATTGATAATGGACAGTCCAGACAGGTATTTTTCATGGGATTTTAACCATGAAAATCTGGGATTTGACCAATGTCAAATCGGCGAGCATCATGGGACATGGTGTACCCTGGACATGTTCCAAGCAGGAAACTAGCTATAGTATGTTATAGTTCATTTATCATCAAATCAAATCAAAACAAATCAAATAAGTGTTTGCATGGGTTTACATGTGCCCTTTCGATCTATTACACAAGTAAGAAATCAAACATGTGTAATCAACAGTTCTTGCGGTTAGTGGCTTGAGACCAGATATATAGAATCTCTTTGCGGATCAGGTACGGACTTCGCTGTTCCCATGGATTTTCTTATCGATGGCTTTCCAGGAGTGTACTGGTTGGTGGTTTCAACCCCTCTGAAAAATATGAAAGTCGATGGGAAGGATTCTCCCATATATTATGGAAAATAAAAAATGTTCCAAACCACCACTCACTACATACTGTGGATGGAAGAAATCCTGCACCACCTTGGATGGTTGAAACCCTAGTAATAATGGGATAAACCATATATCAACTGGTGCAGGATTTCTTCCATCCACAGTATGTTCGGTATTTTTTGGTAACACCAGGTGTCAAAGCTGCAGGTGCTTCATCCACCTCAAATATGGCAGGTGATTCTGCCAGCTGTTCCCAAGCCACAAATGGGCTAGCGGTTCTCATCTGTTCTCCTCATCTTTTGCGAGTCCCATGTTACCATGTTCATTTGGCATAGGAAGGTGCCATGTCTTTTGTTTTTTTTGGTATTCAAGAATATGCTCTGGCAATCAAACTCAGTGGCTGGACAACATGGCCATGTACAAATCGACGACATTCCGGTTGCTAGCCATGTTTCTTCACTTTACTCAACTGTATCTGAGTCAATGTTCAACTTTGGAATCGACACCTGTACTCTACAGGAAAGCGCGAAACTCATGCCTAAGTCACGCCTGTGTGCTGAAAATCTGCTTTCCCCCATCTAAATGCAATTTCCAGGAAGTCATGCCTATGTCATGCCCGCAACCCAAATCACCATCTAAATGCAGCAGAAACCTTTGCTTCATTTTGATTAACTGATACCAGTAGTACCGCACAAGGCGGTGGCGGAAGTTTCAAAAAACTGTAGCCTGTAGGAAGTGTTGGGTTTTTGAGTTGCATGGGCGGCAGAGCAAGCCGCTCATGGATCGTTTTTGATAATGGTTTGTTGTGAAATGAATAGTGAATCTGAAAGTGAAGTGTGAGATAAGGGATATGATATATACTGGAGAAAAAACGACGTCAGAACGACGTCCGAACGACGTCCAGGCGACGTCAACTCATTCCCTAGGAAAGGCCACTCCCCACATGATGGCTGAACAACATGAGGCTCCTAGTACGTTACAGTAATACAAAGGAAGACATGGCTACTCAAAACACCAACTAAATGCAACGACCAAGTCTGAAGTAACTCAGATGTGAAGTCTTTGCCCAACATCAAAACACCAACTAAATGCAACAACCAAGTCTTAAGTAAGTCAGATGTGAAATCTTTGCCCAACATCAAAACACCAACTAAATGCAACGACCAAGTCTTAAGTAACTCAGATGTGAAGTCTTTGCCCAACATGCTGAACACCAACTGAATGCAGGATTTATATAAAATCATGGATCCGATCATGAAAACCAGAAAATCATGCATTTCCTATGCGTTTCACAAAAAGGCACGACTTTTCAAAATCAAGTGCTCCGAAGCTATTTTCAACGATTCCCACTAATCTAGGCACGACTTTAGCAACTCTCTGTATGTCCATGTCTTATCCATGTCAAGTCATCGCCAAAGATTTAGGATGTTCTCAAATATATTCAAATATGGGTTTGTCTGAAAATAGGATACCGTTTAGTCATCGTGTTCCCTCGCAAAATACTATCGTTGGATATCGTTGGTGGTGTAATTACCTCATTAAACCACCATTGAAAAAATAGTGCCCATTAAATCCCATTCTCTACAGGGAAAATCCACTTCTCAAACACACCCAGATGGATCCAGCTATCTCCATGTTTGCTGGTTTTGGTCAACGACATTCCTGGATTGTGACCCCCGAAGTCTGCAACATGACAGCGGCACTGTCGTGCACATGTTCAAGAATTGGCAGGTCCTGCGCGAGTTTTGGAGAAGACATGGTAGAGGGTGCAAAAAAAATCAACCATAATCTTGATTTAAGAAACAACAACGCTGCTTTCAGCAAGAAGAATGTGTCAACCTCAAAAGTTCAGATTGAACCAAAATTACCCTCTGGTAAACTAACGTAACTATGGAAAATCACCATTATTAATGGGTAAGTCCACTATAAATGGCCATTTTCAATATCTATGTTAAATTACCAGAGGGTAAAATTCACGAAAAGTACCGGCATATACAGGGGATCGCCCCAACATCATCATCACAGTTTCGATGGCCTCGTTTCGGTACTTCGAAAAAGGGATTCAAGGTTGGATATTCTCAAGGGGTGGAGAGGCCAAGTGACAAAGATTCCCAGACATTGTGGCTATCATTCATCTACAATGGCTTCAAGCTAGCTGATTCATAAGTTATTTTCTTCTCAGCCGTCCAACTGTAGATGTTTGTTTTACTCGATACCCTCTGGTGATCAAACGTGGCAATTTAAAAAAAAATATGTGAATGCTGGTTGGTGGTTTCAACCCCTCTGAAAAATATGAAAGTCAGTTGGGATGATTATTCCCAATAATGGAAAATTAAAATTCAGGTTCCAAACCACCAACCAGAATGAGTTTGAATAAGTGTAAATGGAAAAAATACCCTCTGGTTATGACTAACATAGCCATGATATAGATGGTCCATAGAAATAGATGGTTTACCGTTCTTAATAGCATGGTAATTTTCCATGGCAAACTGTGAATGTCATAACCAGATGGTTATCTATAAACTATACCCTTGAACATAGCTATTGAAAATGGCCATTTATAGTGAGTTTTCCCATTAAAAATGTTAGTTTACCAGAGGGTAAACGGTAGATTTTCCAGCAAGCCAGGTTGAAACTTCCTGGAGGCTAAACCAAACAACCAACCCCAGCCAGATTTCTGCCGAAAGCCCAGCTATCCCTTGGATGAGAAACCTTAAGGGCGACCAATAGATCAACCCATAAAAATAAGATGATTTTTGGTCGGATATAGCTAGGATATAGCTGGACAATCATGATGATTTTGATAAAATCTGATGTTTTTTTTAAATGGGGATCATAATGGGGAAATTATGGATATATGATGAATCATCTGGTCTTGGGGTGCCATATTTTCAGACAAGCCGATCTTTAGCATATCATCCCAGTGGCAGAAATAGACTATGAATAGCACCCTCCACCGGGTTTCGGGGGCTTCCGAAAAAAGGGCTACCCCCAAATCATCCAAGTCATGGATGACCGTGTGATTTTTTGAAAAAAATACACTTTTGGGTACCCCCATTTTAGGAAACCTCCATAATATAACAAATAACATAGGCCCTGAACATGGACATGTTTTAGTGGCAAGTAATCTTCCAAACCCCCTATTTGGCATGGTCTATGTCAATTTGGGGGAGCAAAACATATTGAAACACTCGGTAATCCACGTGTTCACAAGTTCAGCCCTTTTTGCCAGATGCTTCTTCCCAGCAGAATTGACATGTGTACATACAAAGTGCTGATCCACCAATTTCATGACGTTAAGTTGTGTGGTCACATGTTCACATTTGGGTCTCTCCTAATCTCTCCTAAAATATGATCAGCAATATGATCATTAATGGTACCCCAATTGATGTGATTGCTGATCATCATGCTCTCCATTCATTGCTGACCATGTTGGGGGGTGCCACATTTTTGGACCCTAGAAAAACACTGTATTGAAGCCATATAGAGATCTTCAGCCCACACCAACCCTTCCTGCCCACAAAACACCTTCCATTGTGACTTCTGCCACTGAACATCGCAGGCGCACATCTGTGTGCACCCCTGGACCTGGCTCAAGTCAATTTGGAGTCGCAATGCACCTACAAAATTGCAAGTTGACTTCCAGTTTTTGTTCGGTTGGCCAGTTTGAAAACCCGGCAAGTTCCGAAACTTGAAATTTTTGTCGGTCCCCCCATTTCTGAAGAAAGCTTCCATAATGGCGTACAAAAACTGCTTGTGATTCTCCCGTGGTTTTTCCAATGACCATTCCCTCAGCATTGGATCCCCAGCGGTCATCCCAGGGCCCCCCATGCATCATAGATCAATTGATATGTCCATTCTTTTGGAGAAGATTATACGTATTTAGTATACATATATATATATATACAGATACACATGTATATATATATACATACATGTGTACATATGATCTAAGATGGAAATATGTGATTCCTTCTCGAAATGGATCAAAACCCATTAGAACCATGTGATTGGTGGAATAACCATCCATTCACTGGCTATTCACTAGGGTACCGTTTGGGCACCAGGATTTTGACCCACAACTATGTTACAAGAATCATAGGTCCGCTAAAAAAAAAAAAACGGAAATGATCTTCCCATGTTGATTATGATGCTATATCATGTCTATATGATTATCATAGATAATCATCAATCATAGACCATATAATAGCTGGTGAATGATAGAAATAATGGTTACGGTATTATGATAGTAATATTTGCATCATAATCAATAATCATGAGATCATAACATATATATATATATACTGTAATACTATATATAATATATACCGAATGAAAGCTGGTGCCCTTTCACGCCTGTGTGGCTTGACACAAGGCCACCGCCAGACAGTTGAGCGCTGCGCGGGTGGACAAGGGCCTTGGGAAATCCAACGCTGAACCATGAAATATATGTAGCGAACTAACATTTAATATAGTTTATATAGTATATCCTTCAGTTAATTACTACAGAATGTTCAGTTGAAGTAATTAAAGTAATCCAAGTTTAAAGTATAAAGTTGACTATTCTCAGTGAAAATTTGCGGCTATATTGTTTCTAAACATAAACATTATTATATATACATATTCTCAATTGGTAGAGAATTGCTTTCAGATTTTGGTTTGCCTGAAAATGGGGCATTATCATTAGTTTCACTATTAAAACTGCCAATTCAAAACGTACCCCATTTATGCCAAAAAAACCAATAATAACCATACAGAACCATGTGAATCAACGTTTTCAGGAATTACTGACTACTGTTTCTAAAAATATCTAACTACAGGGTTCGAAAAACATCTAACTAGATTCACAACCATTGGCGTTTTAACCGAACAATTCAACCCGCTAGAAAGGGTTGGGAATTCAGGGCCACCAAGGTGGCGCAGCTGCCAATGTGCTGGTAAATTAAGCCTTTATAACATCCAATGAATTCTAGAAAACAGTGCATATATATATATATATACATGTATATATATATATATATATATTATAGATCTAATTATATCTATATAAGTATAGTCATTATCATCACATATCATCACTATCAAAAACAACGGTTGTTGGATAAAACGGCCTGGCCGTTAAACGACCATCCAGGTCAGCCCACGGCGCGAGAAACACAGGGTTTTTCGTCATTTTTCGGGGTCATTCAAAAAAGGCGAGCGAGGGTCAAACTTCTAATCCTTCTCCAGTGAGGGTTTTAAAAATATGGTAAAATATGGTAAAATATGGTAAAATATGGTAAAATATGATAAAATATGGTAACATATGGTAAAATGTGGTAAAATATGGTAAAATATGGTTAAATATGGTTAAAATATGGTTAAAATATCCTTCTAATTGAAATAAACATGGGTAAACTAATGGTAAAATCTAGAATTGGAACTGACTGTAGGATATGTAGGAAAGACATGGAAAGACTCTGATCTCTCAACAAATAGATTGGTCAGGCTTCACAAATCCAGGGATGTGATCAGCCCCATTTTGATGGCATCCTTGGGCCGGTCTGAGAACACGAACGTATCTCCCTCCTTCACCGCTTGTTCGTAGGCTTTTGTGCCTTCCTGGGCCATACCGGCTTCACCTCGGCTTGGTCAGAGTTGTGAAGGATTCATGTCACTGAAAAGATCTGAAAAGTATGTGTTGGGATACTGTTAGTCAACAAAAGGTGGTTTTCCGGTGCATTTCTATCATTTTTCTTGGAACATCAATTCTCTGGGTGTTTCGAAGGATTCATCTCTTGTTTTCCCGTCGTTTCCCGTTTCGGTTTTCTGGGCAGTGGATTCCCCGGATCGAAACCACCGAACTCGCTGGATGGTTTCCATGGGAAAATCCCAATCTATAAATCATTGGGTTGGTTTTGTTGGGAAAATCTACAGGAAACCCATGGGTTTTTACCATCAAATTGATCGGATAGGGCTTTCCTGTAAATTGTCCCATCATCCAATTCTATGAATAAATGGATGATTTTTTGGACCACCATTTTTTTTGGAACCCGCCATAAAAATATCCATAAATCTATGATTTATGCACCATCTCGGGGCCAGACCCCACGGACCCCAATTCACGGTGGTGATGCGGCATGGTGCCAGGTCTTTTCCCTGAACGGCTTGGAAGCCGGGGTCAACATGACATGTTTTTTTCTTCATGGGCGTGTGGGTGTAATGGATATTCTGCGGTTTAACTATGTTTAACTATGGTTTAATCCCAGAGGATCCATGTATGGAATATTTACCTACATTGACCCCCAAAGTAATTTGAAATAATCCCAATGTAGGTAAATATTCCATACATGGATCCTTAGGGAATATGACCATATTGTTTTTTTATATGGTTCAACATGGTTTACGATGGTTTAATATGGGATAATGATGCGATATATTATATCATGAATTTACCCAGCAGTAATTAATCAGACATGGCAACGGAAGAATCTCCTGTAAACGGGCAATTAAATGGGAATACTCTGTAAATGGAGAATTGTCCATTGCCATGCATGTTTGATTACCGGGAGTACCCATTTGCTAACCATTCGCCAGTTGACTTCCCAGATTTAGTCAGATTCCCATATCCCTTGATTGACTTCCCTATAATTTTGTTGGTTTAAAGACCTACCCTTTACCAATTTAAATGGAGGTGTCCTAAAATGGGGGTACCTCAAAATCATCCATTTTAGTGTGAGCTTCCCTTTTAAACCATCCATTTTGGGAACCCCCATTTTCAGAAACCCCCCGATTTTTCTGCAAATGCGAATCGGATGCCTTGAATTGGACCATGTCTTCAGCAGCTTACATAGCAATTCCAAAATACATATGGGCTGGAAACTTGCCACCTAGATCTAAATATACTTTGAAATAGCTTGGATGTGCATCCTACCAAAGGAGTGGTTAATAACTCATGTATACTATGTATACCCTCTATAATATATATATATATATATGTGGAATATTCTGTGTATCTGGAAAAATCATAATAATTCACGAAGCGGAAGACTTCGGCTACAGTATTTTGGGATGTTTGGATGAGGAGCACGGTACGAGAAATCGAAGCAGCCTGGCTTGTGTGGTGGATCGTATTCCAAGTCGGAATAATTTCAAATGTGTTTATATGTATATATAAAGCAAAACAGTGCTTCATATCATTCATATGAAACCTCTCAGGCTAAGCGGAAAGGGTTGCAGCGGCAAGTCAAGAGGAAACAACTTTTGTCCTGGTGTTGTGTATATTTATACACATCATATAAGAACAGTTGTTGTTCCCACCCAACCGGATTGCATTACTATGTAAATAGTTAAATATAGCTAGATCGGTGGATGGATGGAGAAATACACTGGATATCATATGGGGATGGGTCAAAACCTTGTACCCCTGGTGAACATCAAAATAGCTGGTAAATGGATGTTCATCCCCCTAAAAATGGTATTAATAGGTATTGATCCATACCCATATGAATTTCATTGCTAACACTTCCAATCTATAGCCAGTAGCACAATGTAGAGACCCTGAGACAAGCGCCTGCGCCGAATGCATGCCCCAGGTGGACACATGGTCCAGCAGCGCGTTGGCTGCGCAATAGTTCACCTGGCTGATGGAGATGCGATGTCATTTCAAGTATCCGATCTATTCCTAGGGGGAGATGGTTGGCCATCTATTATTGGGCCTATTCCTAGGAGTAAAGAGATTTTTGGCCATCTATTGGGGCTCACAAAAAAGTACGTACATAACCAGTAGATGATGGGAATAGAATAAACAAATGTATATACATATTTCAATATACATAGACAACATCATATATCTCTAGATGGGAGCACCAAAAAAAGTGGGTAGAAGCAATAAAGCAATAGATTGCGGGTTATGTAATGAACCAACAAATATATGTAATGTAATATAGTTCATATGACATAATCAGGATATACAGTACATACAGTAATATGTACATAACATAAGGGATGAGTATGTGACACATGATTTAGAATATGTCTACTATGACGGGGAAGATCCCACAATCCCAACATCATCCTTTTTCGCCATGACCCTGGACGGTTGGATGAGAAACCAGCATCAAGATGTCCATTTGTAAATCATTTACATGGATAGGGGATAAACATAGGGTACTTACCAGTGTGGACCCCCACAATTATATAGTAACGTTTCATCATGTTTGGATCATGTTTGAATGAATGTTTGGGGTGAATCATATTGTTTTCGATTCCCATCTCAACATGCGAGTCTGTAATTCTGCTTGTATGCCAGCAATGGATATGTTCATTGCACATACAGCTGGTTTGTTACATACAGCTGGCCTACGGGTTTCAACCCATTTGAAAACTGAAAACGTCTTGTGGGGATCCTTCTCCCAAACATGGTTGAAATAACAAATAAAAATTGGTTGGTGGTTTCAACCTACCCCTCTGAAAAATATGAGTTCGTCAGTTGGGATTATTATTCCCAATATATGGAAAGTCATAAAAGCCATGTTCCAAACCACCGACCAGAAAAATTGAATCCACCAACCATCCCATTATATCTCCATTAAATGCCATGGGTCTCTGGGAAATCTGGGAAATTTCGGTGCACATCTGCCTGCCCGGCATAGCCAAACAGGGACGAAGTGGAGGAGAATCCCAGTGCAAATTGCAAAGGCCAATCCAACTCCTTGAGGCTTTGATAGGGTCAACCATCGTCTAAGCTATGGACCTATGGACCTATAATGACCTATATCCTGGATGCGAGAAAAAAACGGGTGAGTCACTGGCTCCCATGGAGACAACGCCCCGGGGATGGAACCAACCGGTGGAGGGTCCATGTTTGTCGAGGCAAATGTTCAGGTAAAACGGTAAATCAGAATTTCAAATGGCCAATCTTGGATACACCGAAAACTTCCGAAGCTTTTTTAGACTGTTAGTAAATTGGGGAGATTGTGGATTACTTACTTTGACAAAGTAAGTAATCCATAATCTCCCCAATTTGAAGCCAAGAATTCAAGTACGTAGACTAAGCAGACTAAGTACAAAGTTCCTGATCATCATTTGAACCCAAAATCATCCATCACATCAATCATATAATGTTCCCATTATGAAACTAGCCATGCACTTGACCTATCCCCAGCGTCCTTTGCCGTTTCCAGCAGTGCTAGGAGCAATCCACACTTTGGCTTGGCTACCTGGTGGGACCGGGGGAACCGGGGGAACTTGATTCCATATGATATGGATATGGAAAAAGATGGATAAATAGTGGTATTTATATATATATATATATACATATGGACTGCACCTAAAAGAAAACCCTAGGTCGTCGTCTTTTGGTCATTTTTTGCATGCGCTTACTGAAAATCGTACTGCAATTTTTACCGCATCTTCTAATCTGATGATCCCATTTTCTGGAGAGTAATAGGGCACCAGTCAGGTATATGGAGAAATCATGGAGATACATGGAGTGTAAAGTAAATGTGTGAAATGGATTGAAACAGCTGACTTTTTGAAGACCCTGGCTCTCAGGAAATCACAGCTCGATGAACAGTGATTATGGCTGTGCCTCAAGCGCCTGGTTTTGCGCGGATGAAATGTGCACTCTATAGATCCTGGGTAACACTTTCAAGAGTTTCTTAGGTACAAACAACGGCACACAAGTAAATTGCTGTTATCATGATTTGGAGAGTTCCCCGATCCTTGAAGCAAAAACAGCATCTGATTTTGGCAAATATTTGGAGGTCTCAAATTTGGGACCCGTTGAGCGTGCCCCTCACAGAACCTTCTTGATTCTCTCCTCCGTCATGCCTGCGGGTCACAACGAAAGTCGTTTCTGAAATGCAGGTTGATGAACAGGAGCAATCCATTCCCCACAATAATCATAATAAGCTTGATTTCATGATGACAATGATGTAAAAAGAGAAGTTGTATCATGTAACACTGGTATTTCATAATAGATACCCTCTGGTAATTTAACGTAGCTATGGAAAATGACCATTAATAGTGGATTTTCCCATTAAAAATGGTGATTTTCAATAGCTATGTTAGTCATTACCAGAGGGTACAAATTACTGCAACAAATGGACAGAATGGCTGGGAAAGCCCTCCATGATCCTCCATGGATCTTCGATGCTTTCTCCAGCAACAAGAAGAAACCTGCAATGCCCTGGGATTTTTCCATGTGAAAAATGACACAAAGGTGCGTGTAAATATGTTTATGGGAAATTTTTAATGGGAAATTCCACTATAAATGGCAAAAAAGTTTACCAAATGGTTTTTTTTTTGTTGGCAAAAAACATATCCGCATTCACTGATTCCACAGGAGGATCACTCCCAACTTGGGAAGTTCGGCAAATTTCATGAAGAGACAAGATACTAAACACTGAACCCCCCTTGTTCAAACGTACTGGCAGTGTTGCAGGTTCCAAACAAAAGCTTGGTGATTGTGGACATGAATATAGGGTTTGCAGATGCTTATCCCTCCTTTGTTTGAATCCTCCTTACAGCATTGTGATCCCACTAAAATTGGTGATGTAGCAAGCCAAAGAATAGAACATACCCCTTTCCCCAATTTGACCCTTTTGAGGAAAATCCAAGTAAAATCACCCAAGAAAGGGGTTTGCCACATGATGCTCGAAGTTGCTTTAAGGCTCCCTTCAGAAACAATACTAGCGACACAGTAACCGCTCGTCGATTCCCTCATAAAATTGACCGACTGGAACGCAGTAACCGGGCAGTTCCACGAAGGATATTGATGGCTATCCCTCTAATTATTAGATATGGTCTAATATTATATAATAGTGCTTATATATGGTGATTAATGATGGGATATATGATCATACTGGTTGGTGGTTTCAACCTACCCCTCTGAAAAATAGTGAAATCAATGGGAAGGATGACAACCCATATATGAAATGGAAAAAAAAAGCCATGTTTGAAACCACCAACCAGTAGTGGATGAGATACGCCGATCCGAATATACCCATTGATATTCCCATCAATCTATCTGAATCCGGATGTTTGTGTTCAAATTCCATCACTCTCCACTTCGTGTGAAAAAATCCCGGTGGACCATGACATCTATCTCCCTTAATTCCGATGGTAAATGACCAGACCATTTCTGATCCAACCAGGAAGGATGATTTCTGATGAGTCCCAAGGCTTGATTTTCTATGGTGTCAATATGCCCTCAGGATATGATTCTATGGGTCAAGTCATTAGGTACCCCAAAATTATGGATGGTTAATACTAAACTAGACATTCACATCTGTGGTCCCACATCGGTCTTCCATTTTGACCCACATCCATATGATTCTATACCCTCTGGTAATTTAACATAGCTATTGAAAATCACCATGTTTAATGGGAAAATCCACTATTTCTATGGCCATGGCTTCAATAGCTATTTTGACATAACCAGAGGGTACCCATACCCATAGTGAAAACCCATAAAACATCTGGCCACCAATCGATCTTGCACCTCCAATGATGCCATCATCCAAGACCCCAGCCAGATGGAACAGCCCGGTCACATTTCGGACCTGCTTAAAACGGACAGATGGCCATGGAAAGGGGGTGCTTAGATAGGGAAGTTGTCTTATAACTAGGCTACCTGTGTTTTTAAGGTGGATATATCATTGATATATCTCAATATATCTCATATCTAGAGTCGGGCTGATGAACAAACCAATTTATATAGAACTTTCGGGCCTTTCTTGGGGTGGGTTGACTAACAGAAATGTGCTTATGATTATAACAAAATGAAATAAATGCAACCCCGTGATCGCGGATCTTTCCTGCATGTCGTACGCATGTAGGTGCTACATTGTATGTACCTAGAGAACGTCGTAAACCAGAACATCATTTCTATGCTGGCTTTGTGCACAGAGATACAAATAGCTCTACAGGTGGTGCCGGAATTATAGAACGGAAGTTGAGGAGTACAAAGGTACGGTTATTTACCGTACCCTGTTGTTCTATAATTCTGTTTTCCTCGGAAGGTGTGAAAAAAAAACGTATCTGAATTTACTCCTAACTTTTTTCGTCGTTCTATAATTCTTGTCGGAGCGCTGCTGTTCTATAATTCTGTGTTCCCCCATTTTTCTCACATTTCCCATTCTCGTTCTATAATTAATGTTTCCCGGGCCCCGTTCTATAATTAATTTTTCCGTCGAACGGAAAAATTAATTATAGAACGGAAAAATTAATTATAGAATTATAGAACCTCTTCCGGGGTCCCAGAAATCCTATAAAATCTATAAAATCACCATGAAATCACCGTGAAAATCCTATAAAACCTATTAATACATATATATATATACATATCATACATACTAGTTGTGTATAATACATATATATATATATAATTATGTCAAGTTCGCATCATGTCATCCATCTTCCCTCCCCGCCTTCCCCAGCGCCGACTTCAACGTCTCCTTGCAGTCCACCCTGGATGCCTGGCCACTCCAAGTCCCAGCAGCTTGGCCCCTAATGGAAAATCCGAAAAAACATGGATGATAACTGGGGGTATATACCCCTATTTCAGGAAACCTTCATATATATTATATATATTTATATTATATTATATTATATTGTATTATATTATATTATATATATTACTATATATTATTCTATTATATATATATATTGGCTTGATTCAAAACATATGAATTCATATAAGGTGCCTCACCAGCTGCGGGGTGCGCAGCGCGAGCGCGCGAGCATTTAACACGTGCGCGCGCGAGGTGCGCGAGCAACGACAGGCGCGCGCGCGAGACGCGCGAGCAAATAGAGGCGCGCGCGCGCGAGGTGCGCGAGCAAGGCCAAGATGCGCGCGCGTGTTCGCGCGCGCGCCCGTCCAACACGCGCGCGCGCAAATAAGCTCTCCGCGCGCGCAAATAAGCTCTCCAAATCGCAAATAAGCTCACCAAATCCACTTTTGGAGAGCTTATTTGCGCGCGCGCGCGTGTCGGACGGGCGCGCGCGCGCTCATGCGCGCGCGCACGCGCGCGCATCTTGGCCTTGCTTGCGCACCTCGCGCGCGCGCCTGTCTTCGCTCGCGCGTCTCGCGTGCGCGCGCGCGCCTGTCTGTGCTTGCGCACCTCGCGCGCCATGTGTTAAATGCTCGCGCGCCTGCGCGCTTACGATTTCAACAGGAAATGTTTCATATGTTTTAGAAAATGACAATATATATATATATATGTGTTTTTTAGATGGGATATATTGAACGACCAATATAGATCTATCTTCAAGTTGTCTATTTCGACCCAAAATGGTGGATCCACAAAAAGCATCAAAAAGCTCGTGATTTCAAGCACCGTGTATAAACTATTATAAACTATACACATTACATAGGCTGTCAATAATTTTGAGTCAATGCCAACTGTAACTTGAAACGCACAAAAAAAACATGCATCCACTCTGAGGCCCATTATGAGGGCTTCCAGTAGTGGCTACATGGGTGAAAATATCCGTAAAATACTTATGGTAGACCACCACAACTTGGAATTCTTTAAATTATAGTGAAATTGATTAAGACATCTTTAAACGAGATGCTGGACGTCTCTTTTCAAATATGCTGATGATTGGTGTCTTCAATGCTTCAACAAAAAACAGCAAGATCTTGGGTCCACAGCGCTTCTTTGGCCACATCGAGTTGGATGATTTTGTTCTGGCACAGTAAGCCTTGTGTGGACTATGGAGGTACTGCAAAGTTTGAGCTTTCTTTCAAGGCTCATCTTATACAATATACATATATATATATCATACACCATATATTTTATAATCATAATTGTATATACAATGCAAAAAACTCTTGTCTATTTATTTCTTCGGCTGAGAAGCATGTACTTCATCGGTGCTCCCAATGTTTGAGGTAAACCATTATTAGCGCATTAAGTTAGGAACAATTAGTTGTGTCTGAAAATGAGACCACATTTCAATGGTGAAATGGTAAAGAAAACAGTTAGATTTTGGAGTTCTTCCAAAAATTTAAGGTACCAAAGCCAATTCACCTACCCAACTGACCACTGAGTTTTGATCTTCCCAGCTTCAGTTCAAAGTTCCAAACTGAATTCAGCTCCGAATCCACCTCGATCACAGTGCACTGAGCCAAATCGCCCTCCAACCTGTAGGGATGTGGCAAAAAATCGGCGGATTTTGGGAGAAAATCTGCCAGTTGATGCTTTCAGATTCAATCCATCAGAATCTAAGAAGTCATTGGGAAAAATCATTGAACCCAAAACTTGAAGCTGATAGTCCTGGTCCCCGTGCGCTCAAACGACCTGGTCCATTTCTACCATGTTTTTCGTTGAACAAAGGTAGAACTTCAGAAGCCATGGGTTTCTAGGTTCCAATGGCACTTTCCAGTAGGGATGTCCTACGCCCCGATTCATTGGAGCTTGGATCCAGGTCACGCATGGGTCTGCCTGAGAACAGGCTACCCCAATGTGTTCATGCTTTATATGATTTATCCCCATGTTTCCAATTTGAATTGTTCATTTTGGGGTACTCCTCGTTGTTGGAGGAAAAACTGGAAGACCACAGTTAGTTTAGTTTACAAACCATCTAAATCCAAATACATATCAACAACTAACCTCTGGTGATTTAATAAGATTTACCTGAAAATGGTGATTGTTCATTGCAAACTCTTAAATCACCAGAGGTAATATATCTGGTTGGTGGTTTCAACCTACCCCTCTGAAAAATGATGGAGTTCGTCAGTTGGGATGATGACATTCCCAATATATGTAAAGTCATAAAAGCCAGGTTCCAGTCACCACCAACCAGGTATGATCTGTACGAAATCCCATCGAAATCCCACCAGTTTTATTGGTTGGGGATGACCCAAAGACCCCATCCACCAAGCTAAGTCGGCCAAGTCAAGTCAGGTCACTTGCTCGACCCTGCGCGTCTCAGAAGCACCAGCTGGCTGGGCTGCAGGCCCTGTCCGGCAAATTGTCCCTGGAATTTTGGTCAAATTGGAGTGATGATTAGTAGTGGTGGTGATGATGATGATGATGGTGGTGGTGGTGGTAGTGGTGATCTTAAGTTGCAATGATATGGAGACACCATTTGGACGCCATCTACCTAGGGTGTTTTCCTCATCTCTGTGAGTTTCCTATCGGGTATCGGGTTTACAACATTGCTGCAGTTTTATCACCAGGGCCCAAAACCCACAAGACTGGGACACTCCTGACTGCCGATTCCCACTCACACCTAGACTATGTTCGCGGTTGCTTGTGATATGGTAAATCCAATAATAAACCCCAATTCCTGAGTCTTCATAAGCAGGTCATATTCAATGGTAAAACATGGTACAAGTAGGCCTCAAAAGGTTAGGGATTGACACATTAAAACCATCCCCCAAAATTTCGAGCAATTCAGTAAACGAAATAATCAAAAAGGTCCCTGGCTCGGGTTTGGGGGGTACAGTCCGTTTATGGGATGATCTTCATGAAGTGGTTCCTACAATAAATAAAATGGTCCCTGGTCGGTATAATCCCAGTAAGACCCCAATTTGAACCGAGTTTCGGCCTTCTCGTTCCTAGAGTCCGTTCTGTTTGGGTCCATGTTGTTCTCATGTTTCTTCCTAAGATCACCAAAAATAAAGGTAACAAATGTGCATGTCGGCGTTCATTCAAGCTTCTCTTGATTGTGATTCTTGCAATATCAAGCGACGCCGCGACGCAGATTCAAAACCTATTGGAAACCATGATGGCAACTAGTTGAAAGGCTACAAACAAACATTCAAACCCAAATAATCGCATATTTGGTGGGCGAAATCCCATAAAATGCTGACTCGAATCCTCTCAAATCCAATTTTTGATATTCTTTGCTGAGTGGAATAGGGGTTATATCCCAACTTATGGGGTTTATTACGATGTTACCATTGTTATTATACTCATGAATAACCCCAAATGAACCCCCAAATATGTTTTATCCTCCATTACCTTGGGGTAAACTAACATAGATGTGGAAAATCCACTATTTCTAAATTATTTTCCTAAGGCAACCATACTGTGGATGGAAGAAATCCTGCACCAGTTGATAGATGGTTCATCCCATTATTTTTAGGGTTTCAACCATCCAAGGTGGTGCAGGATTTCTTCCCTCCACAGTAGGTTTTCCACATCTTTTTGTATGTTTACCCTGGGGTACTCCTAATGAGGAGCCCCTATGATCACTCCTAGCAGTACGCTGCGGCCTGGTCGTTCACCAGCCAGGATACAACAGCCCTCAGTGATGCCAGGCTACGAAGACCACTAGGGATACCAAGCAACATCAAGCAACAATATTCATTATTAGTTGGGAATGTACCAAAATGTATGTCATTCACATATATATATATATATGGATGGATATGATGTGTAGATATATATATATATACATGTATATATATGTTTATGTCGTGAATGTATATATATATATAATATGTGAATATATATATATATACATAAACATTATACATATCAAATATATTATTCAGACAAATATAATACATATATGATATGTACAGTATATTATATATATACACCATATTGTGTGATATATATGACATGTATGATATGTATGACATGTGTGATGTGTATGAAGTATATATATATATCATATATAGGCATCATACATTTATATATATATATATGCACATCATAGATCATGTATATACCAAGTATATATGTATATATCATATAGTTATGTATATATATACATATATGTACACCTAACATGTAGTATATACCTACACACAAATAAACCACGCATATTTATACACACCACATATACCTAACTCTATACACACATACATATATATATATACCACATATTATACCATATATATATATGTATACAATATATATATATACACCGTATATACGCCATATATACCATATACATACCATATATACCATATATATATAACACCACTATATACCTACATACCTAATACTACATAGCTGGTAACGCCCCCAAGGGCTCCCACTTCCCCAGGCCACCAGTGGCGCCCGTCAACACGTAGCTGGCCAGCTCCTGGCAATGAACTCTCAGGGTATCCTGGGGTTACCTTTCTGGTCGAAAAAAAAACATTTTTAAGGGCTAAATCAACTATTTCTATGGCCATGTTCAATAGCAAACTGTTGAATTACCCTCTGGTAAACTAACATAGCTATGGAAAATCACCATTTTTAATGGGAAACATCACTATAAATGGCCATTTTCAATAGCTATGTTAAATTACCAGAGGGTACCAGAGGTTACTCCTCCAAGCAAAAGAGCCAAGTTGCCACAAGTTGCCTAGCAAAATCCCATGGTTTTCCTCTGAATCTTTGGCTGAAGTTGCACCCTTCAACATTAGTTGTCAATTGTAGATCATCATCCCCAATGGAGATGCAATATCTACCATGCCATAAAAATGATGTGATGATTTGGCCGCCAATAATGTGGACAACCCAATGCCATTAACCTACAAAACAAATGGTGATGACTTGGGGATGGCAAACATATGTACCCTCTGGTAAACTAACATAGCTATGAAAAATCACCATTTTTAATGGGAAAATCCACTATTAATGGCCATTTTCAATAGCTACGTTAAATTACCAGAGGGTAAAGGGTGAATCCCACATCAGTTGACCCATCCACATCCCACCGCCCAAAAACCCGGGGAAACCGGTCCCCATCCACGCCATGCGCTTGGATGCAGCGCGCTTTCTTGGAAGCGGAGCACATCTTTTCCAGGCGGGGCACCTTGGTTCACCAACTGCCCTGGGGATGGTTGACCAAGAAGGGTTTATGCATCTGTATGTGTATAAACATACATACTGTATATATTTATATATATATTTATATATATTTATTTATTTATATATTTATTTATTTATTTATTTATTATATACACATGTATATTATATAAATGTGTGTGTACATGAATAGCTACATATATATATATATATGTGTGTGTAGTTGTATGTATGCATGAATGTATGGATGCATATAAGTATACATACATGTGTGTGTACGTATCTGTGTTTACTATGTGTAGAGTCCGTGTAGAGTATGTGTAGAGTCTGTGTAGAGTATATATGTGTATAGATCTACACTCATGTGTACATGCATATTTATATATATATATGCATATATATATATATGTTTACATATTTTTACATGTATACATATATATATACGTACATGCATGCATATAATTATGTATATGGTAGTGATCATAAGTATCTATCTTCATGTATGATCTAATCTGATACGAGTACTAGTTTCTTTGATCTGCATACATGACTACATATATACATAAATATAGAATATAGTACACATTCAAATCATTCAATATGTGTATATATATACACATGAACATGTGAGTTTACACCATATCCAAGAAACACAAAACCGGGGGTGAGTGGCTTCGTGCATAACTCCCGGCTTTGGATCAATCCACCAGGCTGGTCTCAGCTGAGCTGCATAGGCCATGCCGGGTTTCTCGCGGAACCACAGGTCAGACCTTGGCGAATCCGCTAGAAAGCAGCGGGGTGACTGGCTCAGCTATAACTGAGAGCAATAACTATGTTGTGTCGATATCTAATATCTAACATATATATATATAATATACTGTATATATATGATAATGTTGTTCCAACTATATTATATATATAAAATCTGTAACCGAAGCCATGTGAGAATTCGCAGCGGGCGACTTTCACAGTACCACCTATCGATGGCCATGGCGCCATCTCGCTGGAAACACCAGCGAAATCCCCATCTTCGATGGTGAACATCCGATTTTTTAAGAACAAAAAAATGCTAAATCTGGTGAAATCCTATATTATGTATATATATATATTTATGTGCCCCATCTTTGATGGGAAAATCCCTAGTGTGAGTGCCTAAATATGAAATTGTCATACTCGTCCTATTGCGCCTGAAATATCTCAATTTTTGGTGTTCACAACTCCTTCCCCCACTTCTACGGCTCCAGACTCCTCACTATACCGTGATGCCGCCGCACTGAGCCATGCCACCTGCTCGGTTTCTTTGGGGGGGATCTAATATTAATCACTGGTTGGTGGTTTCAACCATCTTGAAAAATATGAAAGTCAGTTGGGATGATTATTCCCAATATATGGAAAAATAAAAAATGTTCCAAACCACCAACCAGAGAACCATTGGGTTCGAAATGCTGAAGCAACAAACCAATAGGCAGTTCATGGGATTTACCTTCTACATTAAGCCAGCCATGAACAGTTCCACCCTGAAGATAGCGGCAGGGTAACAATGTTGATGAAACAAAAAGGGACCGACGGGAATGTTTTAAGCAGCAGAAACGGTCTTTGTCTTTGCAAACATGGTGGTTTTACTCTCAAAAAATTAGGTTTAAGCCATCCAAATAGTATTTGTCCACCCAAAAATGCTGGTTTAGCCATGATATTCATAGGGTCGAAACCATCAAACATGATGATATTTGGACAGTCCGTGGATTGGTTTTTGCTGCAAAATCTTTACCAAACAAAAAACAGCTTTGACCAGACGTATCAAGAAAGGCTGCAGATTTTCCCTCAATCCAATGGGATAGGTATGAAGCATTTGTGTACATGTTAGATCAAATCCATATATCACAACTTAATGACCATGTCATGAAAATATCATATCTATTTACTGATGTTGTGTGTTACTATTCAGTAGAATATGCTATATTTTCTTATGGTATACTACTTTATTTATGTTATTGTTTGTTTACATACGTAGACAAGCACAGAGTTTACTGGTGCTGATAAATGGTGACATCCTCTTGGTTGCAGTATGCCAATATTAGAGTTTCATTCACGTACTGTATATGATACTTACACACATATCTACATATATTACATATATAATATATAATTATATATATATCGTAGTGATATAGGAACAATATTCATGGCTAAACTCTTTTCTGGTGGGCAAACCTCTTGTTGGATACGGATACACTATGATACACACAAATCTCTAGCAGCTTGTGGATCTATGGCCTATGGCTGTTCCACGGCGGATGATTTTTTCCCATGGTGGCGAGTTGAAACTCCGGCTTTTTTTGTGATCAACCCAATAAGTATAATAAGAAATCATAGCTAAATTGACCACATGCTACCTATTCAATAAGCCTCACAGAGTCGTTGTCTGATTATGTCGGATTTTTCGATACGTCATGAGTGTTGGCCCCAGCACAGTTTGTAGTCTCAGTATGTGCTTCGAAATCGGCTGGTGATGTTTAGTACAAGCCCATTCAACTACCCAGTGAGATGACTTGATCCATGCGGTGCGGAAGCAACTGTTGCTTTTCCAAAAAACGGATGTGAAATAACCGAGACCAAAATCAACAAAAAAATGTGAAATGGCCAACTTATTTTCCCACAAAAATGGATGCTTCTCTGTTGCCGGTGCTTTTTTCCAGCAAGAATCCCCAAGAGGGATCCCTTAGGATCCCTCGGATCCAGCTACCTCCCGAGAAAACCGAGCCGAGCCCCTGACGTGCTCTGAGATTTCTTGAAGACACGTGGGAGAAACGAAGATTCCTTGGCCCACGGGGGTGCCCTGGGCGATCACCCGGCGCAAGTATCATGGGCACTTAAAACACTCAGTACTTACTGTAAATATCGCCCTCTTGACTTGTATATTAGTATACACGAAAAGGGATCCCAACTTGGGATTGGCTCGAAGTTTGCAACATGTTAGACTGAACAGTCTATACCCATGACGGATCCATGGTGCTGGTATATATGCTAACATGACTGGGGTATATTGATGGGATCCATGTTACCATATATAGCAGCACCATGGATCCGTCATGGGGATATAGATCTATATTTTTCGCAACCCCAAGTCCTAGATCGAAAAGCTGGACACCGAAACAATTCCAACTCCAAGTCCTCGAAATCCTGGGCTGGGACCCCCAAACGTTGTATCCTCAGCTCCGATGCCTCCATAGCAACAGCCTGAAGGTGCCGGTTGGCTGGGAAGGGAAGGACCCTTCCCAAGTGACCAACGGATACGTGGACCTGAAAATTGTACCGCCCATAAAACGTGGATTTTTACATGCAAAAAAAGGAGGCTTCAAAGAAAAATGTGGATCGACATGGATTTCATTCAGCAACACAAACTGGGAATTCACCAGCAACTGTCAATTGTAATGTAGCAGAACGGGTGATATCCCCAATAATGAAGTGTCCCTGCGATGATGCAACCGACCAACCCCAGGCGGTATACCCAGTTGTTATGGGTATCACATAAGTTAAGTCAAACAGATCCATTCATTTATACATATATATATATACATAGTTGATTGTTATTATACATATATAATTGTATATATGCATAATATATTGCTGTATTTATATATAATATATTATGTTGTATACAGATATCATATATATATATATACTATATGTAATTATATCATATGTATATATATATATAATTATATCATATACATAAAAAGCGTGAACGACCGTTGTAGTGGACATACTATACCTGTTTTTTGGTCCAAACCTTAGACATTGCATAAAATCAACATATAATTCTGAGTCGAATCTCTTGTTTTTTGTTCATCAAAATTGCCAAAATCTCGATCAAATTACCCAACTATTGCTGGTTCCAAATCCCTTGTTGGCCTCGGTTGCTTATTGCTCAGGAAATGACCCCGTTTCTTCATTTTTTTGGGTTGACCCATGAAAAAATTAGTAAACCACAAACCACAAGGATGATTGTTTTGCCCAACGACTTGCATTTATGGGGAAATATTTTTTTAACAGCGTCCTAAAGCGGACTTTATTGATTGGGCTCACCATATGACAATTGACAATCTTGCCAGCTGGATTATTCTTAGTTGTGATGCGTTGATGTTGGGTTCATATCTCTGTAACTATTTGGTTTACCAAATTGTCCATACATTTGGTCGGTTGAATCAAATCCCCATGGTATCCACACATTTTAGGGTTAACTCCTTGTTGACCTAAGTTCCAAATATAGAAAGTTAGGGGTGGTTTATGGATGTTTATGGTTAAACCCATGTCAAACCCATCTACCAACTTATCCTCATATATGTCTGGTGATTAAATTCCCCCATAGTATACCCATATGGGTGGGTCTCGTGGTTTCCGATCCGAACAATCCCAAGAAAGAATTCCCCAGGTCTGCAGCAACTCTGAGTATGGTTGCTGACATCCAAAAGCAAAAAAAAACCCGTGTTGGTAACTAATTTTCCTTTATGTTGGATTTGTTGGTAACTAAACCACCGTATTTTTCCATAAGCACCATGTTTTTCCATGAGGCTCAACCCATCCCCACCTTGCTGGCTCCAGCTACCATGGCTCCGGTGGTGCCAGCTGCGGTGACCAACAGGAGTCGAGCAGTGACCTGAGATCTCACGGCAGATCAAGTACCCTCTGGTAATGACTAACAGTTCGCTATGGAAAATGGACCATAGAAATAGATGTTTTACCTATTAAACATGGTGATTTTCAATAGCTATGTTAGTTTACCAGAGGGTAGGCTAACTGTTGGGCTGAAAAGCTATGTACTATGTGTGTGTGTGTCTATATGTATATATATATAGTCTACGGTCTACAGGGTGAAAAAACAACATAGAACTTGGCACCAGAAATAACTGTACTTGTGGGTGCAGTTGGGGTTATCTATAGGATTATGACCCGCATGTTTGTTTGGATATAACCCCTACAATTATGGTCATATATCCATTTATATCTAGTATTCTCACAAGGTGGTACCCCCAGCTATGCTTGTTGGTTTCTAAACCTCTCTAAGTATAAATACATCTACCATAAACCATAGTCGAACTATTTTGAAACCAACTTAGGCATCTAGGGAACCCCACCTTGTAGGTTTCCTCTTTATAAATGGGATAGTCCATGGGATTTACTAACCACTGTTTGGGATCAAGGTACTCAGGCTGGAAAAATCCAATGGAGTCGTTTCTGGTGGTAGAACGGGGAACTGGTGTATATATATATAGATATATATATATATGTGTGTTCTTTAGAAATCGATTTAGCTTCAATTCAAGGTAATCAGATCGGCAAAGAAAATCATCTTCAGCTGGGGTCAAGACTCCAGCCTCCAACAAACACCTCGGCCGAGATGCTGGGCCTTGCTGGGCCTTGCTGGGGGTTTGGGGGGGCCCTGGGGGCCCCTGGGTCATACTTCACATTTTGAGGGAAAAAGTATTTGAACATGTGGGGATGGGTCAAAACCAATAGTAGCCCTGTAGTTCACATCAAAATAGCTGGGATTTATGGATGTGAATAACCCACTAAAAATGGTATTAATAGGTATTGATCCATACCCATGTTTGATGCAACCATCCAAATATCATAAAGAATGCCCTCCAAGCACTTAAAGATACACGACGCAGCGTCACTTGCTGGAAAACCCCTCCGTGGATCCACGTGGAATCATCGGCCACTGTTTTGCACTCTGGCAAGGTATGGTAACCCCAAAAAAAGATTGGACAGTAATTTCATGTAATTTCCCACTAATTCTAGCAGGATTTTCCCCTTCTATCTGTTTTGGGGGGTTGCTAGTTGCTGGAAGATCCCCTTCAACCTGACATTCGACGGTTCTGGAAGGTGGTAGTTCATCGTAGCTACCATGGTTTATATAAAGCCCATAGGCCCATAGATATCTAAATCCCATTTGTTGATTCATAAAGATATCTACATCTATCTATAAAATTATATATATATAAACCCCATTTGTATACATTTCTTGGTTTATAAATCGCATATCCTTATATATATTTTTAAAAAAAAAAAAAAGTTTTTTTTTTTACCATGGAAATCGTAGTGAACTTTGCCGCATCTCTTGGACTTCGGCTGAACGAAATGCACGAAGGACCAGGCCAGCCGTTGCTCCTCCTCGGTGCAATAAACCGACCATTTTGGGGATGGTGTCTGAAATGGGGCGAATCCAAATCCCACATGAACTTGAAATCTCGCTCTTGAGATGTCTTAAGATATTATCATCCACATAAATCGACATGTTGATATATACATATATTTATCTACATATCCATATATATATGTATATATATATATGTATATTGTGGCCTTCTATTCCAAGCCGATCCAGGCATCATCCGACCTCGAAGTCTTCGAAGACGTTGCCCATGGGCTGGCACGCCACCACCTGGGATGGGGAACTTCAGACTTTCTGGTGGAAAAATGAAGCTTTAATCCCCATCAAAAATTACCATTGGCCAAAATGCTATTCTAAACCCTGAGATGTTGGGGGTTCGACAAATTTGCAGACAAACTCACATTAATATCTTTATCCCACATACAGTAACGATTGAAAATCATTTTATAACCAGCAGCCAGTTTTGTAACCACTTTACAAACCTCAAAAAACGGGTTGTTTTAGGAGCTCTTTAGTTTTTGAGAGTTTGCTGGAGGTGTGTGTTTTCTTAAGTGTTCAATCAAACAAGTTGCTCCTACCGAAATTCCCAGATGCCAGCGCCACCAAGAAAAAACGAAAACGACTAGTCACCGTTCCTATATAATGAATTACATGACTCAGAAATTTGGGATCTTTTTGTATATGCAGATATTTATTCATTTGTTTATTTACTTATTTATATTTAATGTGTATACATATATATATATATTGGACCAATGGGGTCACAATCTCAGGGGATCATCCACTTTTTGGTCAGCTCAGGTGAGTATTTCTCGGTTGATCAGCCCTTGGAGACGTTCGGTGGTACCCCGTGCATCAGTCGTCATGGATGATCATGATCGAATGGATAGGTTAAGAAATGTTAACAACCATGGTGACGACTGGGGATCCCCCATGACTTTTCAGAAACCCCCACATCTGAACATGATTCAAAATGATTGAAATGATTGAACATCTGAGTGATTTTCTGTGAATCGTCATACAATTCCCAGATGATCATGTCCAACCTCCCATGGGCTGCCCCGCAAGTAGCTGATTTTTCGTGGCTTGGATGGCATCAGCGATTTGGCCTTCGAAACAACGCCGTCAGGAAGCGATTTGGTCCGGTCCAACTTTTTCGGATTCACCCAGCGGAAGATGATCCACTTCCAGATTGACACTTCAGGATTCTCTATCGAATTCGGAAATGTGAGGTGGGATCTGAAGCAATTTCAAGGGTTCTTGGTTGCTCGGCTACCCCCCAGAAGATATGAGGCCAACTGTCCGTTGATAGCCAGACAATCAGGGTTTCCCGACAGCCAGGAGGCTCGACGGAGCATGTGTTTGTTGAAATCCCTCTGGGTGAAACATCCCCCATGGTGGCTTCCTGGGGATCACCTGGCATGAGAAACCGCACCTTCGGATAATGCTTCGCTAGTGAGTTTCACCAAGTGTCCTGAGCTGGAAACTCAACAGTGAAAAAAAACAGAGACGTCACCAACAAGCACAACATGAGCATGGATGCTGGTCTCACTCTTCACTGAAACGTCAATGACCTGCAATCGTAACTTCTATCAGTATATCAGATGACGTCACTCAACAACCTGAGCAAATATTATAGTATGATTGTATCGTTATTTGTATATCACTACTTATATTTTGGCATTGGCATATCACTTTAGCCTGCAGCCATGTTTTTTTCCGCAAGTTGTCGTCACCAACTGATGGTCTTCACTTCGCTTCATGCTCACACGGTGTGAGGAACAAAAGGCTCACAAACAAAAGGGACCTTCTTGAGAACCGAAATGTTGGTCAATTTTCAGGGGTTAGCCGCTTAGCCATTCCAGGTTTTTTTGGGACATCTTCGTTGGACTAGCCCATATGATGTCATGTGAAGGTGGCGAACCAAAACTCGGCTTCTGGATCCCATTCTGGGGAGCTTCAGTACCCAGTGCCAGTTCATAAGCCCAGCTGTTCAACGGCTTAGTGTTTAACATCCAATTTTACCTTGCTATGGAACCCATTCTTCCACTTCGTTGCACCTATTATTATCTTGTTTTTCCAGCTCAGAAACTTAGTTTATAAGTATATATATATGTACATATATCATATATATATACACACATACAATACAAATATAGGTTTATCTGCAAATCTGGGGAAACACCCTAGATCCTCTGGTTTATCATCATTTTCATCCATTTTTCCTATTATTTATTGCAGATATATTGCAGATTCTTGGAGCTTGCCCCAACCCCCTCACCAGCTCCTCCTGCGTTTTTGGCCGTGCTTGGAATGGGAGGAGTGGCTTGCTGCCAGCGCCTGGCTCCGGGTGTCAGTGGGTGGGTTGGGGCCTTACGCCACTAAGTGGGGTCCCCTATATTCATCACGACTGTAGCCTGAAAAATACTTCCCCACTGTTCTGCTTGGTGGTTTCAATCGAAAAATATGAGTCACCTGGGATCCATGTGGACACCGGACCAAGCACGGGATACTCCAAAACATGCATCTGTTACTGTTCAAAATGACAAATCCATCTGTGGTTGTCTGGGCTGTCCATCTAGACGGATACTGTACCCCAATGGGGATCTGTTGTGATCTGTTGACATTTTCTTGGTCATTGTCGTTGATTCAAAGTTGTTGATTTCTTCCAGTCGCTTCTGGCATTGGAATTTGTGGGATTTGGTTCAGGAATTCTTGACTTCAGTGCCAAGGATACATGGCAGACTGAACGAAATCTTGTTGTGGGTGCTCACAAAAAGCCCGAACTGGGACAAGCGTCACCCTGCCATTTGGGTAACTATGGCTCAAAAAAACTTATCATTTTTGGGATCCCGAATCGTCCACTTCGGGGGCTCGGGGGGTTGAACATTTTGATCCAGACCCAGTTGTAACCACCGGAATGAACACCGGCGGCTGGACACTGCATAGAGCGGCAGATCGTTCTTTGGCCCTGCAGCTGATCCTGATCACCCCCCGTCCAGCTTGGGGGCCTATGGTTGGAAAACTACCGCCGTTTTAAAGTGGGTTTGTCTGGAAATCTAGGGCAAAAGCAAAATGCAATGTAAAAATTGCTATGAGGGGTACAGGATGGTGCCCCCTAGTTATAAGTGGGTTTATAAACCCCATTAACTATAGATATATCTGCCATAAACCATAGTTATGGGACTTATAAACCAACTTAGCTAACTATGGGGCACCACCTTGTATCAATCCCCCATTTTCCGGGGTGTCAAGGGACCAACTATTTGGCAGATATGGATACTTCGCCAGTCTTCAACCCTGTCCGATTCAACAACTGCACCAGGGTTTCCCCCGTGGTGGTGCTTCGTAATGTGTCGGGAAGGGATCAACTGCAGATAAATTCTATTGCCCTCTGGTAATTGAACATAGCTATGGACAATAACAATGTTTCATAGGTAAGTCATGTACACCATGGGCAATTCTCCATATCCATGTTAAATTACCAGCGGGTAATTCACCTGAATTATATAACGCCACACATCTTCCTGTGATCGGCCCAGTTGGGGATAATTCCGCGGGGAATGGATCAAAATTGGATGCGCAGGGGGACACAGCTGTTGGTAAATCTTTTGAATGCATCTAAGTCGAGTCTAAGCAGCTGTTGGTCCATTTTTGGCCCATACCACCCATGCCCATGTGATGGAAATCATATCCCACAATATCAGCACAATCTCCTCATACATTCCTATCATATCCAATCATATCCAACTATTTGGTTGGCTTTAAAAAAAATAGCCATGTCTATCCTTCTGTCTATCCCCACCGAAAATAGGCTTCGATGGTTGTGTCTTAAATCTTGGTCGACACTGATCTACCAGGGACTTTCGATACAACGACTCAAAAGAACACCAGGGAGTTTCAAAGTTCCCCCCAAAAAAAAAGTATATTAGGCCTTATATAGGCCTTATATATGGTAGGTACCTCCAATTTAGGTTCCTAAAATGGCCATTGACTATGGATCCAGTCGTACTTTCTGAGTATGACTGGGGGTTGGTTTCGCGGCCGCCAAGCCGTACCTCTCTTCAGTATTCAGATCCACAGGACAAAAACAGGGCCACGCCTGCACCGGCGCCTGCTTTGGGCGTCGCTGGTGTCAATGTGAGGCCTGACAAATGATGGGAGTCCGCGGTACCCGGCTGGAAAATCTCCATGTGTAGTAGGAATATCATGGAACAAAACTAAATGACTAAAAATCCATACACAGGTCAATGAAAATGTTCCTATATGGAGGTTTCCTAAAGTAGGGATACCCCTAAATCATCCATTTTAATAGGATTTTCCATTATAAACCTTCCATTCGGGGTACCCCCATTCATGGAAACCCCCATATAGATACTTGGCTATTTTTTGAGCAAGCTATGCTTGATCACCAAAGGCTAAATCCCTGATCGTTTGTGAGATCAGCAGTTTTTGGCAGCTTGAACTCCTCAAGTATTTGCCAGTTAAACAGACAAACCTTCCATTCAATGGCCATTTCAGGAACCTAAATTGGAGGTACCTACCATATATATATATATATAAAACCTATATAAGGCCTAAATTTCAGGGAATATCCCCACAAAATATGGCCTTATATGGTACAGTACCTCCATTTTAGGATCCTGGAATTCCCATTGATTCCATTCTTCTGATTGGTGCTTCAATGGCTGGCAAAACTCTGTTCATTCCCACACATAGAGATCAGCCCCATGTAATCCACCAAATCTCAGTTAAAACCCCATTGTATCTCATACCATCAGATGGTTGTTGGTAAATTCCCTATGTTTGATATTTAAGTTACTGTATATTATATATATAATTATATATATATATATGCACATACATAATGTTATACAAATACCATTAAATACCCGTTTTTAACCGTTCCTTACCATCATGTATGTTTCGTTAAACAGTTGAACCCCTTCTCTCCCCCCTCTGAAAAAGTCCACACCTCCCGGCATGCCCGGAACACCACGCGCTGCCAGCATCGCAGCCTGGGAGCAAGGAAAATCATTGGTTTCCATAGCCATGGGGCTACACCAAAAATGGATGGTTTATTATTTTTTGGGGGGGTCTTCGAAGATAAATAAAAACCCTCAATTGTTTGAAGGTTGGCATCTAAAACAAGAAAATTTGGGACTTGACTTGAACCAACCATGAATTGATGGTTTACCGATAAACATCTTGGTTTTACCAGCATTTCTTTTAAATTTTGTCAACCAAACCTGCCTGCACAGCGTCCGTGACCCAAGTGCCCAAAGCACCAACGACCCTATTCCCAGATGGTCCTAAATTCTATCCTTTCGGTGATTATCACCAACCTTACCCTCTAGTAATGTAATATAGCTATAGCAAATGACCCATCTACAGATGATTTGCCGACTAAAAATGGTGATTGTCCAGTTCACAAACCTCCATGGTGCGCCGCTGCAGTAGCCGGCCGATAGCGTCTCGGCCTTGAAAAGAGCGTTCCATTGGCCCAGTGGTGAAGAATATACAGTAGTGTCATAGTACTAGTATAACTCAGTTTTATCTATGGCTTATAAAATTGGATATCCTACTTGTGAACCACCTATAATCTGGGTTAACTATATAACTCACATGTTTTTATGGGAATATCCTGAGTTACATATGGCGTGTATATATATGTATATATGATCCCTTCTGAGACTGTATTTGCGGTATACAAATATATATATTTATATTTATATTTATATTTATTTAGTTATCTATCTATATATCTATCTGTCTGTCTATGTATCTGTCTGTCTGTCTGTCTATCTTATATCTTAGTTTATCTTCTCTTATCTTATCTTATCTTATCTATCTATCTCAGTATTTTACAATTATAGTTGTAGTAATGTTATAGTCATGATATATATATATACATATTATCATCCCTTCCCCCGTTCATATTAGACACCCCCGTTCACGAAATCATGAGGGATCCACGGGAAGAACATCTTGTGGGGATACTTCAAGGAAGGGACAAGACATGCTGAAATAAGAAGTTCTGTGGGGGGGCGAAACAACCAAACATAAAAAGCAATAAAACCTTTCCAGCCCACGAGAAATGAGGAGTTGACAGGGAAAAGATCGACTCTTGGATTTGCTGATTCCGGCGCCCAGAAAAGACATGAAAACGAATTACATTCCCCCAAAAAAAATGCCAAAACCAATGGTTTTGGACATAAAGAAAGCCCAAAACCAAAAAAGACACGGTGTTTTGAGGTGTTTTGCTGCCCGGAAGCCCCTTTTTTGAATGGGAAAATCCTTCAATCGTTCCTGCTGAAGCCGTGAGCCCTGAAGGCCCTGACGCCACGTTGCCAAAATGTTCGGCCGCTGATCCTGCGGCACCAAATACCTCTCGGTTGGATAGTGTATCAGGATACCCATGACGGATCCATGGTGCTGGTATATATGCTAACATTGGGGATATATTGATGGGATCCATGTTACCATATATAGCAGCACCATGGATCCGTCATGATACAGTAGCCCTGACTGGAAATTGGTTACCATCTCCTGAGAACTAAATATCTATGCTGGATGTGTTGTTTATATAGAAGTTGTCAACAAAATTCAAACGAATGTTGAGCCAGTCAGTTCTATGCAAATGATTGCTTTCAAGCAGTCCATACGCAACAAAATGATGTTAGTTTATCGAAGAGTACTCATTCATCCAGCTGACTGAAATCCATGATGGGCCATGTGTTTCAATGATTTTCAATGTATGGCTCTGCCTGAAGGGGGAACCCCATTCCATCCGCTGGTTCATCATGACCTGTAAAAACACTTGCCATTTGTGGTAGATGCCATTTTTAGACAGACCCAGATCACATGAAGTTAGAATTATGTATATTCATTTATATTATATATATATATCCATATATATATATATATCCATATATATATATATCCATATATATATATATATCCATATATATATATCCATCTATATATATATCCCATTACATTCCCATTCTGTACCCATTAAATCCTTTTGGCTGATGGTTCCCATCGTCATGTCAAGCCACCCCAAAAGGGGCTTGTCCCAGGTCGTCCCAGCTTCGCTCCTGCATAAATTCGTGGCCTCCCGGGAAGTAGTGAAGGCCTTGGGGGCTGTCGTTGTTTCACCGTAAAATCCATGGGGAAAATCCGGAAAACCTGGAGAGTAATCCACCTGGATAGCAGGCTGATCCCAATACATTCCACCAGAAAGGTCAGCAACTGGGGATGGAAATATTGCACAACGGCAACGGCAACTGAGGAAATACCAAGAGAATTCAAGATATAATTACCAAGATAATTATAGATGCTCCATGTGATGGCGGATCAGCTTTTGACAAGTTTGGGTATTGCATAAACCTCCATACATGGAGCATTGGGTGCTATGGAAAGACTCAGCTACGTCCGTTGCATCCCCTTGGACCGTCAAGAGGTGGGATGTTCATCTTAAGTTCCCATAATAACCCCCCAACAGATGCTGAAAAGATTCAATTTATCACTTTTTTAGTAGGATTTGTCTTACCAAAATCTACTTTCTTGGCTATTGTGTTCGTTTTAAGTATTCCGGAAAGATATAAGACATTGATACACACATGGATCCAGTTTATGCACATTGGGAATGGTAAAAAGCAATCCTCCCTGGGGATTGAAAGGCAATTCACTACCCACTTGTGTTGCCAATGGCTTCAATCTATCTTGATCGATATATATGATATGATACCTATTTCCCAACACCAACCAGCTATTGGTTGAATCCCCCATTTTCGCTCACATCATTTGGTCTGCTACCCTCTGGTAAACGAACAGTTTGCTATGGAAAACCACCATTTTTAATGGGAAAATCAACTATTTCTATGGCCATTTTCAATAGCTATGTTAAATTACCAGAGGGTAGAACCCCTCGTTCTGCTTGGTGCAAATACCCGTTCTGCCTTTCAAACATATTTCCTGTTTGGGCATCATCTTTTCGTTGGGGGCGTGCCCGCTGCCCAGATTGATATTGTCAACAACCACTAAATGTATACCATCACTTCAGCTAACCACCCCAAACTTCGGGAACACAAAAAGCAATTCTAATCCTGGTTATATAGTGGTTTCAAGCCCCCTTTGAAAAATCTCCGTCAGTTGGGATTGTCATATGATTGAACAAAACACTTGAAACGGGTTGACAACCCGGCTTAGAATAACCTGCCAACCACCAGCGGCTTTAAAAAGCAAGAAAACTGAGGACATTGGACCAACTGGCGCTTCAACCAAGCGTTGCCAGCCAGGAGCCTGAAACAAAAGATTCGGAAACGTCCTGGAGAACATAGGGAGAATGCTAGTGATTGTGGAAAAAAAACTAAAATCTATGATGGAGAATTTAGGACATGTCACTTAAAATGGTAAATGATACTTGGGAATTATGTAGGTAGATGTAGGTAGAAATGTCCGGGGATTTGGGTGAGTACAATCCCTAATATTTGATACAAACTTCATCAAAAATTGAGTCAGCAAACAGCTGTGGTTGGGATGGAACATCTTCAGGAACCCCGGTTTTTTATCGGTGAAAAATGGGGAGACGAAGCCATAAGAGATGTGAAGATCTGGGAGTGTCGGATTCACCAAGCAGGTGGGCAGTTTTGTATAAGCTATGCTATGCCGAAAGAAATCAATTGGAGAGTTGTATCAGCTATGCTGCCCTGGAATAGCGAAATGTCGGATTTGGGGATCAATGTGTTTATTGCCCCATCCAGAAATTAACAGGGTGTACTACAGAAAATGATCCAACATCAGAGCCGCTCTGGATCAAGACCCACGGAATCCCAAGCGGATTTTTTGAAACCCAAGGGGTTCATCAATCCTGGGTTGACACAACCAAAGGTGTTGATCCGGAACCCCCCCAAAAAAAACAAACAAACCAGAAATCGACCATAGTATTAGTATCCATCATTATAATTACTATGTATACTATTTATACTTATTTATAATCACCATCAAAAGATGGAAATGATCCTATCATCATTGTATCCGTCATTAAACTCATCATAGTCAGGGTCGTCCACGCATCGGTCGCATCGGTTGCCGCTCAGCAAATCACCATCCAATTTTTCAATCCCGCCCAGTTTTATGGTCAGATCCGGTGAAATATATAGCTATAAAATGTTAGAAACAAGATTGAAATCAAGATGAAGCCATTCTGATAGCCAAGTTGGTCACTGATGTTAACTCCTAACTATGGTTTATAACTATGGTCTATGGTCGAATGTCTTGTGATATATCGAACTGCTGTGGATGGTCGCAAAATCCTGCACCACCTTGGATGATTGAAAATCTATAAATAATGGGATGTTTACCATCTATCTGGGTAAGTTATAATATTTCACTAACCTGAATCTTGCGGCCATTTGGGGATGATTTCCCTTACTAACCATGATTTCCAGTGAGGGAGAACAGTGAGGTCGTTATAATTTACCCAGCCTCTGTCCAGGGGGCCACCGTATCGCTGGTGCCGCAGAACCTCACAAAAATCCCGAAATCCATGACGGATTTCCGCGTTGAACCACCAAATGTACCCAAATGCTGTTGGTAAATATGGTAAAACATGGTTAAAACCATGTTATAAAATGTTCCTTCTAATTTAAAACATAATGAAACATAATGAAACCATGAGATAAAAATAAACATGTGTTTCGATGTCTTTTCGCATCAAAAAAAAACGAACCAAAAAACCGATGTCTTCTGGCCCGACACCTTCCTCAGGGACAAACCCTGCACTCATGCAATGATAGTGATAGTCAAATCCCCATTCATTTGAGTTGACTATCGGCGGACTCCGTAAGGGAATAACTTCCGATGGGAATTTTTGCAAACAGTACCGTTGATTGCACAAATCCAGATATATCCATAGCTGATTGCAAAAATGCACCAGAACTGATGGTTGAATTTGATTGGTTGATGCTATCATCCGATTTAAATCATCAGTCATCATCAAATTTGGGATAAGTATCCCCCAATGGGAATTGATTGTCCCATTCCTGAATAAGAAAAACCCATATTCAAATCCAAAAAAATGTTGACTTTCCCCATTTCTGACAATAAGTGAACCTGTTCTTCAGAATCAGAATCTCATTTTACTCATGGTGCCCCATTCAATCCCCATTTCAGCATTGTTCACTCTCCAATAATCAAACATCCCCTTAAATCCTTTATTTATAGTGTTTGTTCCCATATTTTCTTATGGTTTTCTCATTAAAATCTCCATTGAAATCGTATTCTTTCCCCATATGTTCCGATGATTTTCCCAAAAAAGAATGTTCTTCCTATATTTTTTTTCCTATGGGGATGGGTCAAAACCCTGGTACCTAGTGAACCCCAAAATAGCTGGTAAATGGATGTTCATTCCCCTAAAAATGGTATTAATAGGTATTGATCCATAGCCATATGTTCCTATGATTTGACTACCGGGTATCAACACAGGGTATCCCATTCCCCATTCCCAGGGCTCCACACAGTTCCACCCCAACACTCTGAGGCAGCAAAGGTTGAAGTTGGGCGGCTCGGGTGCTCAAACGGCGCTCGGCCCGTGCGTCGGCCTAGAAGGGAGGAAGGACAAGCACATGTAATGAAAACAAAATATGTTACCATACCAGATGCTATTATAATCTATTATATAGTTCTATATACTTAATGGTTCTATTGAACAGTTAGTAACTAATAAGTGCGGATGGTTGCGAAATCCTGCACCAGTTGGCAAGTAGTTACATGTTTTGCCTACGCCCCGAAAACCGTACGAGTAAAACGCAGGTTTTTGACGTTTCTCATATGGGGGGGTTTGGGGGGGTGGGGGGTGTAATAACGTTCTTGGCGTCTGTCTCTAGATGATCGTCTTTCTGCTATGACGGCATGATACGCTAGCACCGTCTCAACGTACTTGCTGGCACGCTTTGGATACTACGCTATCACACGTCTGTGAACGTCTCTGCACATACTCTTCTGAAATGGGTTTGAGGGGGGTGGGGGGTGTAATAACGTTCTTGGCGTCTGTCTCTATATGATACTTTTCCTTCTAGCACATTTAGCTGGCCAGTTTACTGGTGAACTGAGACGAGGACGAGAAGTCATTCAAGCACATACCGGAACAATTGACCAAGTGTGGACTGGGTGCAAAGCATTCATTCCAAAACAGCTAGGAAGCCAATCAGAATTGATTGAGGTTTACTTGCGCGCGTTCCAATGGAGGTATGTCAATCGCAACACTCTAATTCGCACGAAGACAATCAACCAGCTCAACTTGCTGCGAAAGTGAAGAAGAAAACAAAGTGCGCAGTCTGTGTTGTGATGGGTGTCATTGGGAAAACAACATTTTAAAAAAAACATGTACGGCACCACAGCGAGAAGGAAAAATAAAAATAAAACCACTCTAAATGCGTACTGATTTCGACAAATTTTGGACAAAAATGATGATGAATATGCCACGCAGGCCACGTTTTCTCTTTCCTATTTTGATGCGATGACACATATTATGCGGGCAGAGCCTATTCCAAACGATGTTAAATTTCACATAATTCTCGGTCAAAATTGGATGAAAACACAAGCGAAATATGATTTGTTTCAAAAACACAAGCCAATTTCCACATCATTTTGTGCATGCTGCACAAAAACACTTTGTTTTTCCCACACGAAATACACACGAAATAAACTTTAAGTGGACCTGATGATGATGAAATTGTGCAAAACGCACGTACGGAAAACGGCGCGACGGGATGTTTTAGTGCTATGATTATGATACATTCCAAGTCGTTCTGTTTTACTAATCTGTATCGTAAATGTGACTATATTACTATACAAATGAATGCAAATGAAATATGTTGTATGAAGCTGACTTTAGCCTTTTTATTGCATAGAAAGTGATATCATAACAAGTTCTGCCATACTATATATACACTTTAAACGCATATTAGATCATATCATACTCTGCTATATGACGATGTATTGTATCAGGTTGTAACACTAAAGCAATGGATGAAATCATGTACAGTATAGTAAATGTATACATCTATATATATATATATGGCATTGCGTAGATATAATGGTATGTCAATGGACACATTAATTCGGAATATCATGGGAGAAATTCATCAACTCAGGTCGTGACGCCATTGGGTTATGATGTGTACTGGGTATCGTGGAATCATTCCCATTTTTGGCCTTATGATTACAGTTATTTTCAGAGGAGTGAATTACTATAATTCCAAAATAGTAATGACATTTTCTGGTAATTCCATTCCCAACTGGCCTTATAATTACTAACCTTAGTGATATGTTCCAGATTTCTTGCTGCACTACTTCCAATGAAGCACATATCTTTCTGCACTAAATCCATGACATTTCAAGTCGAGGGGTTCCCGGGGGTTGCTGGTTAGAATTTTCAGGCCCCAATAATAACAACGATATGATTGGGCAATGCACAATACACGTAATATACTTGTATGTATACATCAATTTGTGTTTATATTGAAGTATAGTGAATCATATTATAGTATGTGCAATACAAAATGTATATGCATATAATTATACACTTAACTTACCACAATGCATATGTTGTTCATGTTTTATTGATAGGATCACCCATCAGTCCTGTCCAAGGGACTTGACCGTCTTGACCAGTGGTTTTTTTTCATGCATCCCACATATCAAAACATCAATTGATCCCATATTTGGAGGGATGAAGATCTATTTGCCATGCCCGGTGATCCACCTTGAAATTACCATCTTTTTCTGGCCCACCCGCTCAACTTGTTCTACTTTTTCCTCATAGTTCCTACATGTTCCTACGTTTTCCTACATGTGTTCCTACGTTTTCCTACGTGTCTTTGCTTTTTCCATGTTTCTGACTTTGGTTTCCGCTGGACTTGACTTCCTCCGGGCCGGAGCTGCGCTGCTTTCTGGACCATCTGTAGCATCTGTCAGGTCGCGATGTGGGAAGCTTGCGCAAAACTAACTGTTAGATTTATGAGTCCGTAATTCAAAAATATGCGTATGTATATGATATATATATATATACATACATACATACAGTGCATATATGGCTGAAACCAGCATTTCTCGCGTTTTTCGCGTGTTCGGTTGGACCTCGAAACGGGCACTGGCGTTTCGCCAGCGCGACGTGGCAGTGGAGGGCATGGAAACCATAGATTTTGGCCATGTTTTAGCATGAAACTTACAATAAAAACATGGCCAAAATCTATGGTTGATAATTAAATGGTTAAATAACATGGTTAACTTAAAATTAAATTAACATGAATAAAATGGTTAATTTTAAATTAACATGGTTAATCTATGGTTAATCCATGGTTAATCTATGGTTAATTCTAAATTAACATCATGATTGAAACCAAAGATCCAATTTTTTGGTACCCAAGAACTTGGACAAGTCGAGTCATTGGGCTCAAAGTGGCAATTTTCACCCGAGGTTGTGCATATTCTTCACTTAAGCTGAAAATTGGATGGCTGAAGTGCAGAGAATCGCAACACGTAGCCAATTTATCACGGTTCAATAACCTGAAATAAGCCTACAAAATGGGATCAGTCCCCCTATAAAATATCATACATGCCCATAAATCATCATAAATCTCCATCTACAATGCCAGTCGACAACGCTACTCCGGAGTCTCAGATCTTAGACTTATAGAGTATGAAGTTGCGCTTCATGAAGTTCATGTAAACCCAAGAATACTGCCACCTTTTATGTATTGGGACTACACAGTGATGTTTTGATCCACAAAGCATCCCAACTCACCCGGTGATCAGACCTCCAAATCGGAGCGCAACAAAGGCACCACCTGGAAATTAACATAGATCCGGCCAGATAGGACTTGGAAAATTGGTGAAACCACCTTAAAAAATCTTGATGTTCAGGGTCTGGAGATATAAATCATATGATATCAATGGTGTTTTAACATGGGAATTACTATCAGATAAAGATCCATATGATATACATCATCAGATACATCATCAGATATGACTAAAGCCAACTGAAATCATCTGTCAATGGTGATATAAATCAATCCATTTGGATATAATTGGGATATACGAATGGGACATTATGGGGGTATCATATGAATTTGCCCAGAAATTGTTGGCCGTTCCTACCAACCATGTCTTTTAGATATACGAAAAAAAAAGGGGATGCAATTCTTATGTAACCAACAACATGAAAATAAGGTGGTCTGGAAATCAGGGATACTACCAGAAAATGGCATACCGTTGACGGGAACAATGATGCTAAACTATGGTGTTAGCTTGTCGCGAATGGTGTGCAAAGCAATGACTCATGACCAATGAGTTTGGGTTTTTCGGTCTCAATTTCTGGCCCTTCTCTCACGGAGGTAAGTCCGACTTCCCTTCAAAAGAAACGACAAAGTAAGAAAATCATCGCCGCTCTTTCTTGGCAAACAACACGGGTCAACTTGACTTTGTTTTAAAATAGGAGACCCGTAAATCCATGGGTTAATCATCATGTTCCCTACAAAAATGGACCAATGAACGTTTTTGGTATACCATGGTATACCCCGTTGACACATCAAACCTTGGTACCGACGGGTTGATCTCCTTTCAAGCCGATAGGTCCATCGTTTTCCCTGTGAATCCCGGTAACCATCTCCCTTATGGGAATATAAACATATATAAACCATGTGACCATTTGGGGGGTTATACATAGTTATAAATAGTTATACCAGATTTTCAGATACACCCATATAATCCATTGTTGGTTATGTAGTTCATTCATGTATCCCATTATGTTCCCATTATACAATAAATATATATATAGCACATCTAATATTTAATATCTTCATAAAATCCCATTCAATTCCAATAACTCCCATTAAATTCCTATGGCATGACACTTAAATCTCATCAAGTTTCCCATCAGTTGTTTAATTCATGCCCATATTTTCCCATATTTTCCCATGAAATCTTCACCCATCCCCATCTATCCGCCAAGAAACATGTTCCAAGAACTCGGGCGTCTGTGCCGCCTCCGGCGGTGCGAAGGCATAGGCCTCCGGGCGACAAAAAAGGCTGAAAAATCAACAGAAATCGGGAAGTTTTACCCAGAAAAATTGGGAAAATCCATAATTGCCGTGGAAATGTGCAGTTTTACCCAGAAAAAAATGGGGATGATGATCAGAATTTGCGAATTTTACGCATACAAAAATGGGGATGATTCATGGAAATGTGTAGTTTTACCCAAAAAACCAAGACGTTTATCAGAAAATGAAAATGTTACTAAGAAGATCTGAGAAGATTGAGTGCTTCGTTAAATAATCAATTGGTTGACGGGTAAATGCGTGCGATAATTAAGGAACAACTGGTTTCTTCGTTTCTTTCTGAACAAAATGATTTGATCAACAGTGGCTGGTGGGTCAAGAACCAACAAACATGGGAATGGAATGTGAAGAACGAAAATGCTGGGGTTCTACTTCCTATATAACTAACTTGTGCGTGAAAAAATACCCAGCATTAATGAAAATTATATAACGTGACTTGCCAAAAGAAGCTGGCTGTGATATTCATTAACAAAAATACACAAGATGTTTTTTCGAATACAAATGCTGATGAATCTATGTCCAACTCTTCGGGTAAAATAGATACCCGCAACTCACGGCTGAATTGATGTAATACTGTATACCCTCTGGTAATTTAACATAGCTATTGAAAATGACCATTAATAGTGGATTTTCCCATTAAAAATGGTGATTTTCAATAGCTATGTTAAATTACCAGAGGGTACCTGTATACATTGCAAACATACACATATTATGCGTTCTGAGCGTATATGTTTATCTGTACGGTCTGCACATGCGTGCTTCAAAAAATGACCCAACAAAACCAACCGTTTTACCCCGTCAAATTCTACACGTGATGCTTAAATCTAAGTTTTTAACATCAAAAAAAAATACAGGTCATAAATGGCCAACATCCCAATGTGGATCAAGAAACGTGAAGACCCCATGCTCGGCAAAGTGATTCTGGGGTGATTCCTATGCATGTTACATAACTATGGAAGCCATGGCCCAATTGATTTTTAGGCGATTGACCATGATTTACCTATTCAAAGTCGTGATTTTCCATAGCTAGTAGGCATATCAAGAATATGGATGTGTCCAAAAAGAGGCTACATCCGGTGCAGATTCCAAATTCCAGGTTTCATCATGATTTCCCGTGGTGTCCACCCATGATCTCCCAAGCAAATGGCTGGTTTCCGTCCCAAACAAACCCCACAAATTCTATCCCAGTTATATCCACATGTTCCAGTGGATAATGATATTGGTTATAAAATGTGTGTGTAAATATATATATATGCGTGTGTGTTTTATCAATCAATCCCAATTGTATTGCCCAAATTCCAATTACAAACGACCTGGATAATGATTGCCAGATTGACAAATGAGCAGTGTTCAAAACAACTAACATGCGTTTTGAACACTGCTCAAATGCCACATGATTTCAATTGAGCCATCAAAAATACCCTATCCCATCTCTTTTGTTATACTAGTTGGTATTTCAAACGGTTTCCGCAATATGGATTAGTTCGTAATGCCCTTGAAACAGGTCTATTGAACACTGCGAAAAATTGCCACATGGGGATGAGGTGAAAAACCATTCCCGTGACTCCAGACCGCCAGTTCAGCGTTGCTCATCTGGATTGCAGGCCTCGAGCTTGGTGCAGGCAGTGGTGGTGCTTGGTGGCGAAGTATCATCGATACCATATGCTGTACATGTAACAAAAAATGGAGGTTTCCTAAAATAGGGGTGCCCCAGAATCATCCATTTTAATCGGATTTTCTATTATAAACCATCCATTTTTGGGGGTCGTTCAATGCCAAACCTCTTTTCAAATGGTTAGCAAAACAATCAGTTGCATTCAGTTGCAACGAAACTTCTTGGTTTGGTTCCCTTGGATTTGACTTTTTCAAAAGTGTTGTGGGAAAATCAGTTAGAATGGCCGGAGAATGTGATTCCCCTGGTCGATTTGGAGATTGCGCATGTGTTTGTTGATGGCTCGGCGTTCCACCAAGATTTGAAAATTTGTTGCATCTCAGCCAGTGCTGCAGTGAAGTGCCAGCCTTTTCAAACTGATCACACAAAGATCTTCGCTTCCCCGGTTCCAGGTGTTGATCATAGTGCATATCGCGGTGAAGTCTTTGCAATATGGGGCGCTTTGTTGAGTTGCTATCGGGTTCACCTTTACATTGATTGTGAAGCTGCCCTAACAATGTTGAAGTATCTTTGTGGTTGTCATTACTGTAATATCACACCCAAGATTCAAGATCATCATGATTTGTGGGAAAGGGTTTGGGTTCAAATTCGTAGCCGTCCCCTTTGTATAATTGATGCCACTAAGACTAAAGCCCATACTGATGTTGAGAGTATTGATGACCCTTTTTTGAAATGGCAAGCAATGGCAAAAATTACTGTAGACGCTTATGCGAAGCAAGCCCTCCTTGATTGGAACCCCACGTTTGCAAAAGCTACTAGCCATTATGCCATCTCGGCAGAAAAGCAAGAATTTCTGATTGAATTTTGTAATTTTGTTAAGCACATGGCATCCAAGGTCACGGATTCCCCAGTTAAGATTCAACCTGATGCCATCCTCGATTTTACAACATGTATCCCCGTTGGTCCTTTCTTTGTCCATAATGTGCCTCAGGCCTGCCCTGAAAATTTGCCTTTTGGTGCGTTTTTTTTGGAATAGGTTGAGCAGCTGGGCACAATTGTTGCAATGGCCCAATGTGGAATCCAGGCCAACTGCCATGTTGGAACTATATATACGTAGACTTTGCATTATATACAAAAACCATAGTACCCCTTCCAGTCAAACCTAAGGGGAAAAAATCAGCCAAATGCCAATATTATCTTGTTGATCAGAACTTGGAATATGCTGAAACTGAGTTTAAACTTAAACTTTCACAGCAAAGTTTTACTTGGAACCGTATTGTTAATTGGACCTGCCACCACCAGTGTCCAATCTTCCCTGGTGAATGGGTCTCGCAATCAGGCGCCCTGAAGGATCTTGGAAATAGTTTTTGGGTCCCTGCTGTTAAACTGACTGCATCTTTAACCACCGGTGCCCTGCCGTATCAAAAACTACATACTGACTATTTTTGTCACCCCAATGGGGAAAAAGAGAAAAATGAGTATGCCATTCCGTCCTTAGTGGACACACAGATCTGGACCTGTGTATCCACCCTGGGAGGATGCATTCATATGCATTCGATCCGGCATCTGTCATTTTGCATCCGTGCATTCGACTGTCCCATGGTGTGTCTCGTCGTCACCCCTGAATTTGTTGTTTTTTGTTTGTTTTGTTTGCGTGTTTTAATTAATGATCACAATCATTGGTGGGGATTGCACGCGTAGCTGGTTGTCTCTACCGCTGGCACACAGCACTAAAGTCAAAGGCGGAAAAAACCATTTTTGGGGTACCCCCATTCATGGAAACCCCTATATGGCTGTATGTATCCTCTCTTGAATCAATCTTCAATCTACTTAGATGGGTGACCAACCAACTTCGCATTGCCTGCAGCGAAAACGGTCATCTCTTTCATGGTGTTTTTCTCAAGGCTGAAAAATGTTGTTTGGGACGTCAATGGATCAGAACTCCAAGAGAATCACCTTGAAATCAGAAAAAGTCCAACTCAGATGTGCAAATCGGGAATGGTATGTTCTTCAAAGTTCAAAGTTCCATGTTTTTTTGCCCGTTGAATTCTTTGGGATAACACCAAAGGACTTATGATCTCCAGAGCCCAAAAACACCAAAAAGGCCCACCAACAATGTGCACATCCTAAAGATTGGACAAAACCTATTTGTCATTATAGAATGAAACATAACCTATTAATTGGTCAAAACCTATCTGTCCAATAATATTAATCCCATTGGATGCGTGTTTTTCCTTTTGGGTCTTGGAGCTGCGTTCCTTGATTCTCCAATGATGTTGAGTTATTTTCTGGTCACTGACTTGAAATTACCGTAGATACAATTTAAAATTGATTTCAATTTAAGACAAATTAGTCCTAAAATCAATCCAAATTTAATTCAAAGATTTCATTGAAATCCGTTTGAAACTTATCTGAATTCAAATTTAATTTACACTCAATTTTCAGATTTAATTTAGGATTACGTCAGAGGTGATTTAAAATAGAGTACTCAAGATTTCGTTTGAAATGAGATCTTGACTTAGTAAAATTGCTTGAATTCAAAATCAACGTTGATTTAGTTTTAATTTAACTTGAAATAAATCATTATTTTAATAAGATTTAGGATTGACTCAAATCTTAAATTAAAAACCATATAATGTTGAGTTGCAGCAATTAAGAACAAATTCACATTTCATTTACAGTAAGAATCAATTCAGATTTGATTCAAAATTATTCCAACTTAAATTTCGAATTTATCTAGATCTAATTGAAAATCAATTTAGGTTCGATTGTAAATTAATGTAAATTCCGTTTGAAATCGGTTTTGATTTGATGTGAAACCAAGTTGAATTGAAATTCACATTGATTAAAGTTTTTAAGACAAATTATATTCATGTAAAATTGATGTATATAAAATCGATTGACAAATCATGTTATATTGAAACAAATCATTTTAAATAATTTCGTTTAAGCTTGACTGGATTAAATGATTTAACATGACTATGTAATTTAAGCTTGCATTAAAACGGTAAGTAAGAAGTCAAGAGCCAAAAGCCAAAGGCCAAACAAAACAAAAATAAATAATAAAGGAAAACGGAAAACATGCCACTTCCGTGAAAATGAACGCATCACCTTTAACTGATCCATATGGTTGCTGTTTGTTTCATACTGACACCTCGGTGAAACATCATAAAAAATGATGCGATATGAGATAGGGGTCGAGTTCATTTGGCCCGCAAAGACATCTTTGATATATTTGGCAAACATGTGGCAGCAGCTCCCCTAACCGTTGACCCATCATGTTGGTAAAGCGGCAAGGTATGAAACCTGTGGGGTGAATAGTAGAAGCAGCATCCAGTAGTGTTGTTCATCCAGGATTTTGCAAAACTCCCAGTTGCAGTAATCAATGGGGGGGCAGCGTTTTTTGCAATCATTGACCACTACTTCTGGGGGGAACCCACCAATTAATAGCCAGGGTTATTGATCCGGGGTTGACATTGTCCACTTGTAACATGTTGTAATTGTGTTGGGATCAGACAAATGATCCACTATGACACTTCCTACACCAAACACCTTGTAGTGTTTCATGATAAATTTCAGATTGGCCGTGACAAATCGATTCAATCCGTAGTGCTATAGCTGGATTTATACAGTCCCCCAGATGGCATGCAAATACCATGTCACAAAAAAAACATGACAACATATGAAATCTATGAAATACTCTGAATTACGTTTGCTGATGTGAACAAATCTCATAGCAAAACCATGTTTTCAATATGAGTCCCTTTGGACCCGTCGGCAAATCCACTATGACCCGGACACATCGCTAGGTTGTTTTGCCGGAGGCTTTCGTCCAGCAATGTAGACCTCCAGAGTCGACCCGGAGCGAAAAATCGACCCGGCAACATGATTGGGTGCAGTTGAGGTTGCTTTTATGGGTATAACAATGGTATAACAATGGTGAATAAACTTCCATAAGTTGGGATATAACACCTATAACTGCCTATAACTATAGTTTAAAAATGTCTTAAATATCCACTTATGACTGGAACTGCACTTCCAAGTACTCCCATCATGATTGATCAGGGGAAAGATGCGCTGACCGTCTGGCTCTTCCCCAGCGGCAACCACTAACAACAACCCCCAAAACAACGGATTTGATTTGGATGAGTTGCTGGTGGGTTTGACCAACAAAATTCCATGTTCAACAAACCCAGCGAGAAGTTCGCTGGGCGAACTTCATGGGATTTTCAGCAACATGTTGTGCAGCACATTGATTAACAAACTGCCCCAGAACACACCGGAAACAACTCTGAGCTACCGGGCTGCAAGCGGCAATGGCGCTTTCCCCCGTTCCTGGCAGGGTTTAGGGTTTTCTGGTCGCGGTTTTCAGGACATGTCTTTGGCATGTAGAAGCGCCCCCATGACCTAAGGTCACACATCAACACTTTTGACATCAGAGTTTCTACGAAAAGAAGTAGATTGTCGGATCATCGTGCTTTCTATATTGCAAATTTCATGCTCAGCATGTTCACGGTCCACCTTGGAAATGCTATTCAGGTTCTTGGTTGAAATCTAGTCTTCATAGGCTGTTTCAGGGATGCAAACACAGTACGAAACACAAAATAAAATGTTCGCACAGCGTGACTGGCTTCAAAAAAAATGCAGCAGAAGGCTTGGCAAAACGGGTGGAAAACTGACCAACCTGTACGTGCGTTTCGCTTAGGAATTACATAATTGTTCGAAACACTGAAATCAGTGCATCCTTCGTCTCTCATTCAAAGGCTATAAAGGTAAAAGTGTTCATTGATGCTTGTGGCCCTCAATCTGGACTTGGGCCTTTTGGCCTTTTGGTGTGTCAAGTTTGGCACTGTATGGGCCGTGGGTTTTTGCGCATCTCGGGTTGACAAACTACCATGCAACCCGTCCGTGGTTTTCGCTTGTGGATTTTGAAAAAATAGAAGAATTGGAGTTAGGGCATCTCACATGTCACTTTTTTCTGAGCCTCCGAATTCTTCGCATATTATGCCGCATAATGCACAATTGAAGACATTGAACTTCTGGTGGAGCCATGCTGAGCCCCCATAGCCACACGCAGGATTCAATGTTGGCATTGCAGCATGAATCCTTACCACATTTTTTAGAAAATCACCTCGCCGCTTCAGGAGCACGAAAAAACAGACTTGTTATACAACACATCCCTCTGAAGAGATTTGACTTCACATGGAACCCAATGCTTTTACTTTTTTCTGGATCCTGATCGTTTTGTTGTTCCTTTTTTTTTGCGCAGGGGGAGTTCTCAGGAAAATCAATCCCCACATCCCCACCATTAAATCATTAAATCCCCATATAGTCGTTGCTTCCAATCCCACATCATACTGTAGTCCTTTCCATGTCGGTTATCGTCCATGCTTTCCAACCAAACAGGCCCTGGCTGAGCTACCCTCTGGCAAACAAACAGTTCGCTATTGAAAATAGCCCATTGAAAGTTGATTTGCCTATGAAACATGGTAACTTTCCATAGTTATGCTAGTTTACCAGAGGGTATTAAGATCAACCAACTTGGAATAAGGTGATTTTGGGTCGGCTCCCCTTAGCATCTATGGTGAAGTGATCTTCGGGCCCCGCTGCTGGGACCCCGATGTTGAAATGGTTCAAGGATTATCAATGCACGATATCCACATTATATGAAGCCATTTGGGTATGGATTAAATTCTATGGTGGATGAACATCCATAAATCCCAGCCCAAGTTTGATTTGTTCACTGGAGGCTACTCTGTGGTTTTGACTTATAATATAACATCCTCATGTTTGCCGGCTACATTCCCATTATATCTCCATTATCAACCCAGTACATTCACATCATCTGAATCATATGATTGACTATAATAATCAGTGAAACTTGTGGAAAAATCACCACAACTTTTGTGGTGTTGATCCTGAACATTGAACGGGAGTTCGACGAATGCACATTTGCGAAAATAGCCATTTTGTTTGAGGAAAATTCACCAAGTATATCCTCATTATTGACCCGCCGCATGCTCATGATCTGTCAGAAAACAGCATTTTTATGGATGGTATCAATGGTATAAAGCATCAAAATATGGGTGGTTTACTATTAACTATGGTTTAAAAAACAATAGTTTTTAACCAACATTTAATAACATTAACTATGGTTCTACTATGGTTTTACTATGGTTTTACTATGGTTTTACTATGGTTTTCCTAGCATTTACCGCCCCTTTTTCATGGCGCCCAGGACAGCCAGGTGGCTGTGCCAGGCGTCCGGACCGCCAGGCGCAGCGCCAATTCCATGGCCAAGCCGCCGCCCATGGAGAAACCCAGCAGCACCTGGTGCTCAGTTTGGATGGTGAAACACGCTTTTCTAGATATGTTTGTATATATATTATTGGATATAATCAGTGTATACAGTGGAAAATGTATCATATATAATAATACTGTAATACATATGCCTGATTATAGAGATGTATGTATATATATATATATGGGTAAATTATGATAATTCACTAACCTGAATCTTGCGGCCATTTGTATATGTATACAGTGGAAAATGTATATTAATGTATGTTTGGGATATTAATGTATCAGGCATATATACATATACATACAGCACCTGGTGGTCATAATATGCCTGATTATAGAGATGTATGTATATATATATATATGGGTAAATTATAATAATTCACTAACCTGAATCTTGCGGCCATTTGTATATGTATACAGTGGAAAATGTATATTAATGTATGTTTGGGATATTAATGTATCAGGCATATATACATATACATACAGCACCTGGTGGTCATAATATGCCTGATTATAGAGATGTATGTGTATATATATATATGGGTAAATTATAATAATTCACTAACCTGAATCTTGCGGCCATTTGTATATGTATACAGTGGAAAATGTATATTAATGTATGTTTGGGATATTAATGTATCAGGCATATATACATATACATACAGCACCTGGTGGTCATAATATGCCTGATTATAGAGATGTATGTATATATATATATATATGGGTAAATTATAATAATTCACTAACCTGAATCTTGCGGCCATTTGTATATGTATACAGTGGAAAATGTATATTAATGTATGTTTGGGATATTAATGTATCAGGCATATATACATATACATACAGCACCTGGTGGTCATAATATGCCTGATTATAGAGATGTATGTATATATATATATATGGGTAAATTATAATAATTCACTAACCTGAATCTTGCGGCCATTTGTATATGTATACAGTGGAAAATGTATATTAATGTATGTTTGGGATATTAATGTATCAGGCATATATACATATACATACAGCACCTGGTGGTCATAATATGCCTGATTATAGAGATGTATGTGTATATATATATATGGGTAAATTATAATAATTCACTAACCTGAATCTTGCGGCCATTTGTATATGTATACAGTGGAAAATGTATATTAATGTATGTTTGGGATATTAATGTATCAGGCATATATACATATACATACAGCACCTGGTGGTCATAATATGCCTGATTATAGAGATGTATGTATATATATATATATATGGGTAAATTATAATAATTCACTAACCTGAATCTTGCGGCCATTTGTATATGTATACAGTGGAAAATGTATATTAATGTATGTTTGGGATATTAATGTATCAGGCATATATACATATACATACAGCACCTGGTGGTCATAATATGCCTGATTATAGAGATGTATGTATATATATATGGGTAAATTATAATAATTCACTAACCTGAATCTTGCGGCCATTTGGGGATGATTTCCCTTACTAACTATGATTTCCAGTGAGCTCGCAGTGAGCTCGTTATATGTTACCCAGATATATATATATATTATTGGATATAATCACTTTGGATGTGTCAGTTCTGGTGGTCAGTTTGGATAATATATATATATACTATTGTTTTCTAGTGTGCATACCCTCTGGTAATTTAACATAGCTATTGAAAATGCCCATAGAAATAGTGGATTTTCCCATTAATCATGGTGATTTTCCATAGTTATGTTAAATTACCAGAGGGTAATATGCCTGATTATAGAGATGTATATATATATATGTGTAATATATATATATAAATGGATGGATGGATGCATGGATGCATGGATATATGTATAAATATGTACAAATATCCATATATATATACATATATATATGTGTGTCATAAATCAGAATTTGTAGCACTCGAAAAAAAAATCGTCTTGCTGGTTACTGGGGTCGTCACCTGGTGGGTGGCTTTAACCCTCTAAACCGTGCAGAAAATCCTGTGATTGGGTATAACCATTTCAAATAGGAATGCGGAATGAACAGTTGGAATTTTCTTGAAATCCTTGAAACTCATGTTCATATTCTTGGTTGTGTTGCAACAAGACACATAATATCCCCGCAATACCTTAGTTGTGTGGTTCCAATCACCAGTTCGTGAACGTTCGTGAACCCTCCAACTACAAACCTCAAACCCACAACCCGTCGGGGGCCACGTAGGGGCAGCCACGCAAGTCAGCCAAAATCTCGTTGATCAAGGCCTCAGCCACGCGAGAATTCTGTGCTGACTTGGGAAGCCAGGTCTCTTGGGTGGTGGCTTTGCCCAAAAGTCGCTGATCATCTTTTTCCCAAACAAAATTGCCTGGAGTACCCTCTGGTAAACTAACATAGCAGTGGAAAATCACCATGTTTAATCGGAAAATCCACTATTTCTATGGCCATTTTCAATAGCTATTTTGACATAACCAGAGGGTAAACCCCCTATTTCAGGACAAACCCATTTTCATCTTGTAGGTTGTAATGCACAGTCCATCCCATAATATCCATGTTTGTATGCCCCTATTTCTGGAAACACCCAGAAACAGTCTGAACCGACTCACATCCCAAAAAATAAATCCCAGTTTGTTATTTCTTCTCAAAAAGTGGTTGCTTTTATATCATGGAAATTCAATCCACTCCCACCCCCAAAAAAAAACAGTGAACTGAACAACGGCCAAATATGTCGATATACTCAACTATGATGTAGATATTAATTGTATATATATATACCCCTCTAATATGTACCCTCTGGTTATTTAACATAGCCATGGAAAATGGTCCATTTATAGATTTTTATAGATGGTTTACCTATTAAAAATGGTGATTTTCCATGGCTATGTTAGTCATAACCAGATGGTATGTTGTACACGCTGAATCTTCACCACCAGCAACCACGAATCTGAAAGGCCACCTCCAGCATGGCACCGTCTCCAGCATCATCTTCAGGCATCACCTGTAGGGTGGACTCGTCAGAAATGGGCATATATATATATATATTATATATACACGTGTATATATATAATCATCCTAGAGTAGATAGAAGAGTAGAATTTTCAATCACATTCCGGATTTCGTGAAGGAGACCCTACATATATTACCATGGGAATCGTTCCATATGGAACAATATGTACGTACGTATGTATGCATGTGTATATGTGTATATATATAGAGGTTTCGTAAAATGAGGTTACCCCAGTTCTCATCCATTTTATATTCGGACTTTCCATCAAATAAACCATCTAGCTATTGGCTATTGGGGTACCTCCATTTATGGAAACACCCATGTACATACCTGTATATACATATATATATATAGAGAATGTGTGTGCCAGGGCAAACATGGCAGACGGGTTATCAAACTATCCCACCATTTTTGGGAATCCTGGTATTGGCCAGTATTAGTCCCCATTGACTATGTAACGATCACTATGTAACCATATTTCAATGATCATCCATGTTCACTACAGAATTATAGAGATGATGATAATAATCACTCTAAAAATCCAATGACTTCTCTCTTAAAATCAAGAATTATCACCAATAACGCGCTATGGTCAAGTTGGGATGAATGTAGGCCATGAAAAGGCTCACGAATTGATGGTGGAGACACTATAATGTGTACATATATACATATTATCCTAAATTATAATGACCATTGTACAACTATAATGATGATGGCAATGAATACCATATAGTCTTTGCAATTCTAGTAACATCTAATGACGGATCTTTCATTACTATCATGATCACGATATAATTCGAATGACGTATCTATTCACAGTGTATTTTACCATTTCAATGATATTGGTATGTTTAAAGCATAATTATATCTAATAATATTAATGTGTCTAGGATATCAACTTGTCATACATGTACATGATATCTGGCTTACTGTAGTTGTGATTTATCTTATCTTATTTCTTATCTTATATATATATACTTAATCTAATCACTATAACTAAAATAAACATATATAGGAGAAGAAATAAAATACCATAAAGAAACCTTATATACGACTATTACAAACAATATAATCACAGGAAGAAAAGATGATAATCACTACTATAGTCACTATATACAATCATTATCCATGATTATAATCACTATAATCAAGATATCCATCATTTCAATTAGCTATAGCCTATATCAGATTACTATAATTACTAAACAATCACAAAATGTGTCTTTGCCATAGAATCACCATCATCATCATTCTATTAATCGCTCTATACATATATATCATATAAGTACTATAGTGATAGTTAGTAAAATCACTATAATTACTATAATTCCATATAATTACCAAAAATAGTAATTATTACTATAACAGTACTATAGTAATTATTATTTTTTATACTACTATATATATATACATCAACAGATGATTAGCAAATCCATGGCCTCTTCAGCCCTTGCTCCTCTTCCAGGCAACTCCTTGGCACCCGGAATCCGGACTAAAGGGGATATCCGGGTCCTCTGGTGGTCCCTACATATACCAACTGCTTGGTGGTTGCTTAACCCCAACCTATGAGTTCGTCAGTTCGTCAGCTGGGATTATGACATTCCCAGTATATATATATATATATATATATGTGGAAAAATAAAAAATGTTCCAAACCACCAACCAGCCAACTATGGTTGCTTAAACCACTTATAAAACGCAAAGCTTGGTTAAAACAGAATATGGCTATGAATCAAAAGCCAACAAAATAGCTGATATACCTGGATTTTTATCCCCCCAGTCATAATAGTCATATGGTAAAAATAGGTTTCGATTCATTCCCACAAATTACAAAAGGAAGACCTTAGTGAACTGTGCTTATAAACCAAATTCTTGAATGCTCGCATATGTTTGGAGCTGCTGTTATTTTGAACATTGGTCTGACTGATAGAGGATACCTCAAAATGGCCAATGTTCTAGGGGAATATAGTGAACCATCTAATTTTGGGGGTTCCCCACCTGTTCAGGTACACAAACCCATATGTCGGGCAAATTGGTCACCTGGAAGGTGGCAGCATTGTTGATCAATGGCCATCGAACTTGATCATTCCACTGGTTCGAAGTGGTTCATGGGTATGGTTCAACATCATGACTGGTTGGTGGTTGAGCCACCCCTCTGAAAAAATATGAAAGTCACTTGGGATTATGACATTCCCAATATACGGAAAATTCATAAAAGCCATGTTCCAGTCACCACCAACCAGATGATAAAAAAATGATCCAAGTCATGGCTTCATGACCATAGTTCTACCCTCTGGTAATTTAACATAGCTATGGCAAATCACCATTTTTAATGGCTAAATCCACTATTTCTATGGCCATTTTCAATAGCTTTTTCTATGTTTACCAGAGGGTATATCCCATTAATATCCCATTGAATCACTATAAATCCCATTAAATCACTATAAATCCCATTAAATCACTATAAAATCCCATTGAATCACTATAAATCCCATTAAATCACTATAAATCCCATTAAATCACTATAAAATCCCATTAAATCACTATAAAATCCCATTAAACCACTATAAATCCCAGAGGGTAAGCCGAGGTTTCCCAAGTCATGCGGCGATCGCCCCGGGTCTCCGGGTCTCCGGGCGATCGCCACCACTTCCACCGTCTCATCCTCCCAAGGCGCGAAGACCAGAGAGGAGCCACTGGCGAAGGGCAAACAATAGGCCTGGCACCGGGGGCACCGGGGGAGTTCAAGGGATATCCTACAAAAATGCTGGTGAATGGTGAATGTTATAGAATGATTAGTAATGATTATATCATGAATGGTTTAAAAGCAACTAAAATATACTTAAATGGTTTCACAGGGATACTTAAGTCGACAATGAAGTATGAGAGTCGATGAAGGGTAATACGGGCTGGGCGGAAGCTAACACCCTCTGCCAGTCTAAACTGTCAAATGAAGAAACAAAAATGGAGGTTGAAGATGGTTGAAGCAAGAGAAATATGGATAGTGTCAAAATCAACCAAAAATGTTGGGTCGATGTTGATGGGTAGATTCCCATTTGATAGTTGATCAAACTGTTGACATCCATGGTTCAGATACAATCTGTTGACATAACAATATGGACTGACCATGATTTGTGGTTAATGGCGCATGTCTGTTTGTCTCAAAAGCAGGGATGCCCCAACCATCCCCAACCCAAAATCTTGGATTTTCTATAGGGCAAATTGTATGCTAAGCCATCAGATTTGGTATTTCTCCTCAGTCATGTGGCCATGTAAGTCCTGGGGGTCTTCACGTTTGATGGAGATTGGTAGGAAATGTTAGGAAGGTATCTGGCTACAGGTCAAAACAGGTCAGATAGGTCAAAGGTGTGAGTGGGGCAATATAAGTTAACCAAATGAAGTACACAAACTAGCAATAAAAACGGGCAAGTCTGATCTCGCCGAGAACATCCTGGTGAACCAAACAAAATGCTGATGACTGGACGAGGTCAGCGGTCATGATATACAAACCGCAACCAGAAACAAGCTACATTCTATCTTGCCATGCAGGGAAAAAAGAACGAAGACAACCTTAGATACCCTGTCAAAAAAAACAACATGCTGCAAACATGCTGGTTGGATCTGGTTAGATTTCCCAAATTCTCCCAAAAAAAATGGGGAAATGGGGAAACTAGGACAGGACAGGTTGGAGGTTGGGTGGGAGGCTGTAATGTTTTTGTTCAATCTTGTAATCTGAAATGTTTGACTGTTTCTTTTTGAATATCTTGCTAAATGTTTTGTTGAGGTTGTTGTAATAATGTTTGGTTTCAATGAGGGTAGGTTTTGTTGAGGGTGTTTTGCTTGTTATGATTTTAGGTTTATGTTCAATGTTTCTTCCTTATCTTTGATGTTTTATGTGGTGGGGGTTTTGGGACTATTTTGCCCCTAACTTTCACTGTTGATGTTTGGATTGAATGGGGGTAGGATTTGTTTAGACTGTTGTGGTTTTTGTTTGTGTTTGGGCAGGTGATTACTTCATATTATATTTTGTTAAGATATTATGAATTAATCACTTATGCTTTCCACTTTCCTATTCCATCTCACCAGTGTTCAATTACTCTCATTTGTGATAAGCAACGTTTGTTTGTATCATTCAGTTCATCCATCGCTATTGACAAAAGAGTTAGGTTGATAATCATAGCGTTGAATTCACCATCACGGTTGAGTTCCTTTCCACAATCAATGATGACTTTTTTATCAGTTAAGTTTTCATACGTCTTTTTCATAATGTCAAATCTTACGAACAAATATATTATCATTCCATTTCCTCCTTCATTATCTTTCATCCTATCAATTACTTTCTTCCACAACTTGTCTCCTTCCTCATCATCTGGTGAAGGCATAGGATGACATCTTACGAAGTCTCTAATCTCTTCATCTTCTTTTTCTATTTCTTTTCTTTCCCAATCATCATCCTCACTATCACTACCAAAGTCAGCATATATTCCAATGTTCCCTGTATCTATAACCTCAATTTTTGCTCTACTCATTTTCTCTTATTATATATAAGTATTTTTTCTTTAAGTATTTATCACTTTTTGTAGGTGCTCCTTTATTTCTTCTGTGTTCAAATATTTCTCATAACCATTGAACAGTTCTTCGGTGTATTCACGCAAGAAAATTTCCAAAATGTCTTTTATTTTGAACTCCCTGTTTCTAAACATAAAAGTTCGTTCAACATTAGGAAACCACCAGCATCTTCGTTGCTTACTGTGATTGATGAAATTAAGGTCGTGAAAGTTCTTTAGAATATGATAAGTGTATTTCCAATGGTTTTTGACATAAGACTTAATCGCTTGAAGATATATCTTCTCTTTTTGAAATTCTACCTTCAGTTTATAGGTGTCCATTAAAGCATCTATTTCTCTCTTCATTACTCTTACATTTGTTCGGTCAGTGTTGGATAAATAGATAGGTGATTTCTCCATCCTTGTTTTAAAGAAATGTATTTGTTTTTCAACTCTTGTTAGTTCTTTCTCTTCAAAATGGTCAAAATGATAGTTGAATGTTATATATATATGCGTTCCTTATCATTCAACTCTTTACATTTAGAACAGTGAAGGTTGTAATTACATATCTCATCACAAATTCCATCAGGAAAAATGTTGTTCAATAAAACCTTAATGTCAGTCATTTCTTTCTTACAACATCCACAGTTTTTATAAGTAAATAGCATCCTCTTGCTATATATAGTCATTTTTTCTTTAAGTAGTTTTTGGGGGCTAGTTCAGTTTTCGGGTTCGGGTTGGTTTTTATTTTCCCTTTCCTCCTCTTCCAGTTCTCTTATGACCATATCTATTTCACTCATTCCTTCGTTGGGGTCTTGTCCATTGGCGAGGTTTCTGAACCTCTCAAAATCCTTCACTTTGTATCTTTCATTGGGTGGGAGGGTTTTGAGATGTTCCTTCAACTCTGTCAGGTCAAAGTATGTGTCTTCCTCTTCATCCTCATTTTCCAAAAACATGTCCATTCGTTGCTTTTCCATCTCCATAAGTTTGTTTTCCATATATTGGAATTTAATTTGCTTCTTGTAGCACTTGCCACAAACATTCACGAAGGTTTTGAGCAAATAGTTCCAATTGGGTTGGTTTCTACCATTCAGGGTTATAACATCTGTCATTATACGACATCCACAGTCAAATTTAGTCATCTTACTTATTCTTATCATATATAGGTATTTGTTCTTTAAGTATATTTTTTATTGCTGATAATTTTAAAAATCTAATATTATAATATATGGCAAGGAGACTATCAAGATGACATCATAAGCAATGTCTATTACAATCTTGAAACGGGCTTCGGTTCAATCCATGAGACCCTTTAAGAAAGCCAAGGAACAAGACCAGACCATCAACAGGGTGGATGTGGAAAACTTTATGAGGAAACAGCCCAACAAACAGATTAGAAAATACAGGGGTTCAAAGTCCTACACCGCACCCTTCGCAAGGTTTGAATATCAAATTGACATAATGGATATGAAACCCCTTACCAAAGAACCAGAGACGAAAATTCCCATCAAGAACGACGAACCGAGATACGGGTTGGTGGTCATTGACATCTTCAGCAAGTTGGCAAACGTCATCCCTATGAAAGAAAAATCCGGACCAATCACATTATCGGCAATGAAAGAGAGTTTCAACAAAATGGGTTTTCCAATGTCCGTTTATAGCGATAATGACCGTGCCTTCCAAGCAGGGGTAAAAGAGTTCTTTGAGAAAGAAGGCATCACTCACGTCGTCACCCTAACTCACGCCAATGTTGTGGAGCGTTTCATAAGGACAATGAAGAATATGATACACGACAGGGTGAGGTTTAATCGTGGTAGTTGGACTGTTATGCTGTCCAAAGCGTTAGATAAATACAACGACACCATCCATTCATCAACCAAAATGAAACCAAAGGATGCCCACGACGACAAGAACCATATGGACATCAGGGTGAATTTGACAAGGAGGGAAAAGAACACTCGCAAATATCCAGAGGTCAAAGTGAATGATATGGTCAAGGTCTTTGAGAAGAAAAAAGACAACTACACCGAGAGGAAGGAGTATAACTCAAAGTGGAGCAATCAATCCTACAAAATCGCCAAGATAGAATACGATGATGTCGGAAACAGAACCTTCAAACTGGAAGGATTGGACAAACCGTATTTGAGGCACGAGATTTTGAAAGTATAAAAAATTATCTATAAGATTAATATATGACAGAGGTAATCGTAAAAGAGATTGATAATGAAGAACCAAAGGAAGAAACAATACCAGAACCAATACAGGAAGAAGCACCGCAAGAAGAGGAGAAACCAGAAGAAATAATTGAACCATCAGTTCAAGAGAAACCACAACCAGCGCCAAAGCCCAAAAGGGTAAGACCGTCAAGGGCGAAACCACCTTTTGACCCAGAGGCATTCAAAAACGACCTTGTAAAGCAACTGAAGGAAGAACTACAGAGTACAATGACCGCCAGAGACACCTACAACAAAGCCAAAGAGGAAAAGAACAAAGCGGCGAGAGAGAAATTGAAATCTTTAGCATCAAACATTTTGTAAAGTATTATATATAAAAATGAACATCAAGGAACAGAAAATAGAACTCAACAAAACAGACATCTACGAAAACGTCCGCAGGGACATCAACAGAAGACAAACCGTCCATTCAAACAAAAGTGCCAACTACAGGAGCGGAACGCCCGAAATGCCAGACAGAAGAAAAGAAGTGTATAGTAGTTATGACCACTACTACCACAGCGACAGCAACACGGCAAGGATGCCAACTCACAACCATCATCTTTACCTAAAGCGTCTTCTTGAATATCACAACACCGAGCACGACTACAAGGTCTTACAAGTAAAGCAGAGGATGAAGGAAGAGAATGAGATGCTACAGAACGAAATGACAAGGTTGAGGGAGGTGAGGAAAAATCACAGATTGGAAGATTACGGGGCGAACGTCCAGAATATGAAACAGAGAATTATTGATGAGTATAAACAGTGGTTGAGAGGCGATACACAAGATTAATATAAAAATCTAAAGTATTAATATATATAGCAATGACAGCAGAAGCAATCAACGCAAAACTGGGATTGACACGAATACCCACTTATGCGGAACTCATCAAGGAAATAGACAGGGAAAAGTTCAAAACCAATGACATCAGAAAAATCTTTGATAGGAACGCTTGGTA